GGGTTGTCTCAGCCTAGCTTATGGAAATGGCATTACTTTGTATTCACTATTGGTTTCTAAGTTGACGTTTTGCTGTCCAGCTCCCCCTCCAGGAGCAATACTTGAGAGAGAGCCCTGGTCTCCCTTACTAACATCATTCAGAAATCACAGTTGCTTCCTAAATCTTCTGTCATCCTCAGGAGCCTTTAAGAATTACCTGTTTGTGTTCCTAATGGGAGGATATGGTTAGTAAAGAAAGGAAAGCACAGGGTAATTTGGTGTCCTGCAGGTTATACCTGCTAAAATGCTCTTGCATTTCTTCATTTCCCAGAGAAAATCCTTGCTCTTTTCCTTGTGTATTTTCCCTTTGCCTTTGGTCAAAACCAAGGAACAAATAGAATATGAGGTCAACCTAAGCATACTTTTAAAGATGCTTTAAGAAGCCCATTTACAAACTCCTGGCACAGAAATTTTAAAAAGAATCTTGTAAAAAGAAAAACAAAGCAAGCAGGTCACAAAATGCAGTACATGATATACTCAAAGTATTATGCTTGACATGTAAAGGGAGGAGTTGAGGAAAATCTAACTTGGCAAACTTCTGGCAGTTGTCTCAGGTTGACATAAAAGTGTGATTTCTCTTCCCACCTTCTCACCTTCTCTCCTCTTCCCTGTATTTTCCTGATGGAAGAGGGTGCTGTATCTTGCAAAAGCTGGTCTAGTAATTCCTTTTAATGAGTCTCAATGTACTTAATTTCTTATTTTCAAGTTTTAGTTATTTGAAAGGCAGAGTGACAAAGAGATAGATCCACTTGCATCCACCGATTCTCTGCTCAGATGCTTACAAGATCTGGAACCGGGTCAGGCTGAGACCAGGATCCAGGAATTCTAGCCAGATTGCCCATTTGGGTGGCAAGAACTTAAGTACTTGAGCTGTCATCTACTACCACACAGTCACATTAGCAGGAATCTGGATCTAAAGCAGAGATGGGAGTTGAAACCAGACACTGCTAAATGGAATGCAGGTGCCCCAAGAAACGCTTTAACCCACTGCACCACAACACCCCCCACCCAAATACTTGAACGATCAATACCAACTTTCCTTCTCAGTGACAGTAGCCTGTGCACTCTGAAGAAATCTGTATGGAGATTCATTGTGGCAGGTGCTGGGAAATTTTGGATTTGTTGGACCATTAGGGATCCTTATATAATACCCTCACCTGTAATTCTTTAAAAAAAAAAAAAAAGTCAAGGAGAAAAACAGCTGTGATTTCAGCAGAGCTCCACTTAGAGCAGTAGAGGTCATCCGCTCCTGGTCAAGAGGCTTTGCATTCTTTCCAGAAGGATCCTGGCATTCCTGTTGGCTGTGGCAGTGGCAGGGCAGAGTGACCACCTGGTGTAACCACAGGGGCAGTGGTCCTGCTAAGTACAGAGCAAAGTGAGGAGCAGACATGAGCAGCTTCGTTGCTTGCTAAAATTTGAAACCTTTCTGGAACTTAACACACAGAAATAAATGTTTACTGTTTGTTCTGCTGGGATTTCCAGAAAAATCAGGAGAGAACTTAGTAACTTAGGGACTGGAAACACTCTTCAAAGCCTCAGCATTGGGTCCAATGCTGTGGTGTAGCACATCAAGCCTTTACCTGTAGCACTGTCATACCACAAGGGGGCTGGTTCCAATCCCAGCTGCTCCACTTCAGTTCCAGCTCTCTACTTGTGGACTGGGAAAGCAATGGAGGATGGCCCAAGCACTACGGCCTCTATAGTATATGGGAGACTCAGAAGAAACTCCAGGCTCCTGGCTTCGAATCAGCCTAGCTCTGGCTGCTGCAAGTATTTGGGGAGTAAACCAGTGTGTGGTGGACTTTCTCTCTCTCTCTCTCTCTCTCCATGTGTGTCACCTTCTCTCTATAACTGCATTTCAAATAAAAACAAATGAATCTTTAAAAAAAAATCTCAGCATCTCCCTGTAGCGTTTGCCAAAGGTGACTTTGTTGCTTACGTGCAATTCCTTGCTTGTCCAATGCTGTAATCAGAGAACCTTAGCGATATGTGTCAGGTGTGGTGCCTACAACCAGCACTACAGGCCAGTTCGAAAAGGTTTGCTGATGAAGATAATGAGGTTGTTACGTAGCTTGCAACTCATAGTAAGGTCATCATGGAGGAATCTAGGTTTTCTGGTTTAAACGAAAATTGATGGAACCCAACATATTGTTTCTTGGAAATAATATTTCTCCTTTGAGAGACTTCCTCACAAAAATGATACTGCTAAATTATCCTCCAAAATTTTCAGACTGTTTTACACCTTGGGCTCCCAACAGCGACTCTGTCTTCACGCCATAATTCTTCCTGTAGCAGAAAAGTCTTAGTTCAATGGAGCACATGCTTTTAAAATACAACTTACTTTGGCAGGAAAATTGAGTCCTTCCAAATGGGGAAATGACTGTAGCATTGGGGTTAGAGTTGCTGGGAGCCTGGAGGAAGCATATCTATGGGACTTCTTAGGATGTCAGGGAGGGGCGAGGGTTCAGAGCACTCAGAGGTGAAAGTTAAGTGGCCAAGGACATGAGAGAAGATGGAAACAGAGAATCACAAAGTAACTTGGAATAGCAGCGGAGAACCCATGGGGAGTGGACTGACAGGATCCTCTCCCACCTCCCACCCCAGGGGACCCCAGCCTCCTTCTGCTGCTCCTGCTGCTGCTTTTACAATTCTCCCTGGTCGGTGTGTCAGTGCCTTCAGGCGGATTGATGACGGGATAGAGCTCCGGCTGAACCAGCTCCTGGCCAAATTCTTTCCCTGTAGATAAGGATCATCCCTTAAGACCACGAAAACAGAACAGAATGTTGACAAAAGCTCTCCCCACAGGCGCATTGCTAGTGGTCATCTACTTCACTTGGAAATTCTGAGGATTTCTCCCTTTCCCAAAGCCTTGTACAATCTGGGAATCCCGCAGGAACCTGCTTTCTTCTTGAAAGGTTTTCCTACGCAGAAGAAAAATGACATCTCTGTCTAGAATACACATAGAGGGTGTTTTTTTCCTGTCTTTTGACAAGACACTTAAACTTTGCACAGAGGGACTTGAGACAGGAACTTTTTTTTTAATTGTTGATAAATTCTACAGATTAGTTTAATAGAGCTTTTAAGTCAGCATTTCTTTTTAATTCCCTGCCTATCTCAAGTGCAACTTGTTGTGTAATAAAAACTTCTAAGTGGCTCTCAAACTTTGGTAAACATCAGACTCACCTGAGGACCTAAAAAGGTTATCCAGCTCAAACCCCATATTAATTACATCAGAATGCCTGAAAATGGAAGTCAAGCACCCATAGTTTAAATTTACTGATCCCAAGACTGAGAAAAAAAAAATCTTGGTTTTAAAATATATGATTTCTAGGAGGTATGAAACAATAGTTCAGTTAAATATTTAAGTCTTTTCTGAAACGGTCAGCATGGACTCACACATACCTTACTAGGTAGGACACAAATATTAATTACTCCTAAGGTATTGAAGATTTCTCTGCACACCCCTCCTAAAACTATTCTGCACCTCAATTGTTGACATATGCCTTGTTAGAGTTATAACCCAGTTTAGACTATCCTAAAATCTGCCAAGTTCAGCAAACACTTTAACAGCTTCGACACTATAAACTGCTAAATACTAAAATGAAAATAGACATGAGACAGCTGAATAGTACCCTATATCCATTTTAAGGTGTATAGCAGCTGGTTCTGTGTATAAACTAAAATTGAAATGTCAATGAATTAGTCACAGGATGTGGTTAAGAACTTGCATTTTTTTAAAACATATTGGTTACTCAATACCATGTCAATTAATTCCATAATGTTGTAAATTGTCATTGATGTTATGTTGTGGCTTTAAATTGATCAGGATGATATTCTGCCAGCTCTGCCTTCAGACCAGAGATGGTCTCCCCCAAGCAACTGTTGAATTTACCTGGACAATAAGATGCTGGACTCTATGCTTGGTATACGTTTGCAATGAAAGAATCTTGGCTGAATTTGAACTGTAATACAGCAACAAGGTGGAGGAATCCACCATGTGGTGAGGGTACTGGGAATGGTTGGGGGATTCCCAGAGCCTATGAAACTGTGTCACATAATGCGATGTAATTAATAAATATATATATTTTTAAAATTAAAATAAATATTTTAAGTCTTTTCCTATAATCAAAGAATGTTTATGATGCAGGAGTCCTAATGGACGATAATTTGCACAATGAGGTGCAAAACTAATAAAAATTTGTCAAATCACTAAGTACAGAAAGAACAAAAATTGCATTGCTCGCCTGCTGTTTATGAGAAGTTTGCATTTGGTGACTGCGCTCAGAGTGATTTTTGATGCAGAAAAGGTGTCCTTAATGAAATGTAGGCAGATCTCCAACCAGCAGAGAGCGCTTTGAGAACCTCATTAAGGAATCAGACGACTTAGGGCTGTTTCTGAGCTTGGGGGTTTAAGAGAGCCAACTGGGAAGAACCTTGCTGGCACCTGTGTTTTGTCTGACCCCTCTCATGCTGCATTACTTTGCTGCTTATACCTACTTCATTACTTTCAAATTTCTAGAGAAGCCTTCAAAAGTTAAGCTTCCCCTCCTGCCTGGCAGGAGATTTGTGTCCCACCCAGATCAAAGAGGAAGCCTATTTCCAGACCTGGAGTCCAGTGAGTCAGTACCTGTGCCCTGCAAGAATGCAGACAAATCCCAGAGTCTCCCTCCAGGAGAGGGAGGGAGCGAGGGAGGGTAGGTGGGAGGGGGCTGTTGGCCCTCCTCCCGCTGCGGATAGGCGCTCCCTGCAGCCAACTTCCTAGCTGAGCTGTAGTTTTGAGTAGGGCTCACAGAGGTGGGTCTGTCCATTGCTGCCAGAGACTGCTGCTGTTGGCTTCCAGCTTGCCAGCTCGCCGGGTCTGTCAAGGGCAATTGTTGTGGTTGCTCACTCGCCGAGAAGCTGTCTGTCCACTCCGGAAGTCTCCCAACCAGACGGCAGCTGTCTCTCGTTTCTCCTGCTAGGCTGCCCTCCACTCTGGACTGAAGTCACCTGCCACAACCATGGTATGTGCGCTGATTTTTCCTGGCCTAAAACGAACAGTCACCCCGCAGTTCTGGGGCGAGCCCTCAGGGGGGGAACTAAGCTGGGGCTTCCGTCCAGCAGAGCTGAGCTTGGACAATGCATCTTGGCGTCCCCAAGCGGGGGTTCACAAAAGCCCAGCGGACACGCGAAATTAGGGTTCTGTGCTTGCTTGCTGTATTTTCCATGTCTTCTTATCTGACCTGGGTTATCTTGTCTTTTGTGAGCACTCCCTTTTACCCTTCTTACTGTACATGCTCACGCGTTTTACCTTTCAAAACAGAATTCAAAACAAAGACAAGGAGCAAGTTTTATTAAGTTCATCGCTCAAGGAGCCCACTGTTGGTCAGCCTTCTGATTTCTGAGTGTACAGTTCCACCTGAAGACCTGACTGTGCTATGAATTGCACTTAGGGCCTTTCTTAAACTTTGACGTGGTCTGGTTGTGTGCCTGTGTGTTGTTATTGAATGGTGGTAAATGTCATAAATGTGTTCATGTTTTTTGTTTTTAAGATTTATTTATTTTTATTGTGAAGGTAACTCTACAGAGAAGGAGATACAAAGAGAAAGATCTTTCATCCTCTGTTTCACTCTCCAAGTGGCCGCAACAGTCAGAGCTGAGCTGTTGCGAAGCTAGGAGCCAGGAGGTTCCCTTGGATCTCCCATGTGGGTGTAAATTCCCAAAGCTTTGGGTCATCCTCTACTGCTTTCCCAAGCCACAAGCAGGGAACTGGATGGGAAGTAGATCAGGCAGGACACAAACCAGCACCCATATGGGATCCTAGTGAATGCAAGTCAAGGATTTAGCCACTGGGATTTGGCTCTGGGTCCCAAGTATTCATGTTTTTGTAGGCATGTTTTGAAACTTTGTAAAACTGGAATTGTTGAAGGATTGAGAATTTTGTGTGAATCATGTTTATTTCAGTTGAGACAAGTGGGTATCTTACTGCCCTGAGACCTGTACCCTTTGGCTTAAAAATGAGTCACATGGCACAAGAATCTAAGGGGCCACTACTCACTTCACTTGTTGCTCCTTTTAGCTTTGATTATCAGCACCTGTCTCTAAGATGCCACTCTTCTTTCCCTTGTCTTACAGGACTGCCAACCAAACTCCCAGACATCATGTTGGTAGGGTCCCAGTCCTTTTCACCAGGAGGGCCCAATGGGATCATCAGAAGCCAGTCCTTCGCAGGTTTCAGCGGCCTTCAGGAAAGACGGTCCAGGCAAGTGCTGAGTGTACCAGAGACTGTGGCTGGTGGAGAGTGGGGGCTTGGTGCATATGGCATTATCTCCCCCCCCACACACACACACACATGCTGTGCAATCTCAGAAAAACACAACCCGTCCACCAAAATGAAAGAGCTGTCATTTCTGTCATTTAGAATTTCTCATGTGGAGAAGGTGGCTGAGGGCTTAGGATAAGCTGGTGATCTGGGTGTAAAGTGTTCCCACCCTGATTCCTGCCCTGGAGGAATCCCATCAGCTGGAGACTATGCCGGGGGCAACATTAGGCCATGGATAGAGGCTGCTCTACCCTTGACCCTGGGGAGCAGGTGTCATTAAGACAGCTTAGGGGAGTTAGTCTCCCAGATCCCCTGGAGTCTCCCATCATATAAATCATGGTTTTAGATCTTGAAGGGGAACTCAGGAAAGCCAGTGTGGGTAAATGCATAGGTAACACATGTGCGATTTTTCTGGTATCACAGAGCTCTTGCTGTCTGTGGGCCTTATGTTACTTTGGCCTTTGTTGTCTCATGTGACACACACACGGCAGTAACACAAGCACAGGACTGATACCAACCTTGGAGACACGCAGCAGGTGTCAGCCACACTCAGTGTGACTCTGCCTACCTGCTGAGAGCCTGGCCAGTGAACTGCCCAGTTCAGATTGGGATTCTGGTTAATTACCATCTCAGCACTATTTGCTGCATCCCTGCCACTAACTGGTATTCTTGGTTATGTCTAAGCATTGTTTCTTTTATAAGAATAAAGAAAGCTGTCAATCCAGCTATGTGTGCTTTTCTGTAGTGCCCTATCAAAGGAACTGTTTGTCCTGCCCGTAGCCCCTTGACAAAACAGGATTCATCCACATCCGAGTTGGATGTAATCAGCCCTTGTCCCTGATGTTGCACAGGGTGCCTTTTCTGGTTTGATCCTATCTTTCTGCCTGTTCATTATCCACCTGGAACTGTTCGTCCCTGACTTCCCATGAGTTACAGCAGCACAGCACCTGAGGCCAGACCTTGACCTTGTGTAGCCCAGCAAAGCTTCTGCACCGAGCAACCAAATGTAGGATGGCTCAGATGCGTTACTACAGGGGGACCATCATCTTTCTTTTGTGATAATAAAAACACAAAATGATTGAAAAGACATTTCATTGGTCAGGTCCTTTTGGCTGCCTGCAGCTTACAATTCCTCTTTTTCTCTCTATAGGTGTAACTCCTTCATCGAAAATTCTTCTGCTCTGAAGAAGCCACAGGCCAAACTGAAGAAAATGCACAACCTGGGGCACAAAAACAACAGCCCTCCCAAAGAGCCTCAGCCTAAAAGGGTGGAGGAGGTTTACAGGGCTTTGAAAAGTGGACTTGAGTAAGCTCGTTGAATCTGACAATGCACTTCATCCTTTTCTTTTCTAAAATAGCCAAGGGGGAGCTAGAGAAAAGCTTGTTGTGCTTTCAAAATGTTTGTTTCCGTAGGGGATATTTTATTTGGGGGTTATAATCAGGGAAGTCTTTAACAGAGCTCCAGAGATGTTCAAGTATATTGACTTCCTACATCCTTTCTATGGCACTGAAGAAAACCCAAAAGAGAAATGTGCTTGTAATATGGATGGAATTTCATTTAAACAACGGTAGACAGTTATGTCCATTCTAGAGATTTCCAAAGATGAGTTTTTCTTTGAAAAAAAAAAAAAATAAGTATCTAATTGAAAGATAGAGAGTAAGGAAGAGGGAGAAATAGATCTTCCATTCACTCATTTACTCCCCCAAATGACTGTAGTGTCTAGGGCCAGTCCAGGTGAAGCCAGGAGCCTGGAACTCCATCCAGGTCTCTCATGTGGGTGTCAAGGACTCAATACTTTGACTGTCTTTTTTCTTTTCCTGGGCACATTAACAGGGAGCAAAGTCAGAAGTGGAGCAGCTGGGACTCTTCCCAGTGCTCGTATGGGATGTCAGCATTGCAGGCAGTGGCTTAACCCAGTGAACACAATGCCAAGCCCCAAAGAAGGATTCTGAAGCTTCCCTGACCATATTACAGGGATTTGCCCCATGATCCCCAAGGACAAAGGCTTCCTGGTGTGTGGTAAGGCATTTGCAGTCAGTGTTGTATAACTAGACAAATCCTGTGGACCCACACCCAGGAATGCTTCGTGAGTGCCTTGCCCAGGTGCCTTCCTGGGCTTGCAGACCCACAGGGCTTCTCTGTTTTGACCAGCTGGGTAATAACGGATACAACTGCAGGGCTTTGAAATGTTGAGACTGGGAAAAATCCCAAACTCCCTTCCCCCTTCAGAAGGAAAAAGGTGAACAATAGCACCAGATCCCACTTAACAGAGCTCATAATCACGTCTTATCTTTGCAGTGAGTATCTGGAGGTTCACCAAACAGAGCTGGACAAGCTGACAGCACAGTTAAAAGATATGAAAAGGAACTCGCGCCTGGTGAGTACTGGTCATTAGGATGCTATCACAGTGGGGTCTGGGCTGGGCTTTTTTGTTTTGTTTTGTTTTGTTACACTTGGTGGGGAGGAGAGGAGCATTTAAAAGAGGCAGATCCAAGGGCCAAAGCACTGTCTGATGTGTATTTTAGAAGGAAGAGGGAGGTTGGGTTTTCTTGTTGAAGCTTCGCCTTTCACCCTTATCAGTGTCTTCCAAGCATAATTATGTAAACTATATAATCAGAAAAATGTTTAAAAACGAATTCTGTATACATCTGTCCCAAATAATGTAAAGAAATAAAAAGTTGTAGATTTCCCAGCACGTTGTTAGTACTTACAGAATTTGGAACCCAGAACTTCTTTAGCTCCAATGTTTAAAGAATATAATAGATCAGTGGTATTGAGGGGATGAAAGAGGTCAAAGGCAAGGGGACCTTGGGCTGGCTTGATTGTGCATTATATTGTGAACTTTCTGATGAATTGGCTAGGGCTTGTGCACATGGTCTCACACACACACGCGCGCACACACACACACACACACAGTGATGTGTAATCTCAGACAGACATAACCAACCAAAGTTTATATGCTAACATATTCTGGTGGTAGAAGGTGTTTCTATCTTCCACACCATCTTAAATGATTGTAATCCATTCTAGATGCCGTTGCATCTTACTGTTTCAAGGCATTTGAAAGCCCAGAAAAAGCCTACGTGTACTTAGGAGGGGCAGCCATTTTTCTTTCTTAGGAGGTATGCGAAAATGTGTATTGCAACTGTCAAAGGTTTACAGGTTAAAGACTTTGTCAAGGGTACCAGGCTTTATATACTGTACTGGTTTTGGAGAAAGAACTGTTCCTAAGGAGGAGCTCCTTGCAAGATGGCTTCACAGTTCTGACGTGGCCTTGGGCAGTAAATGTTCCTTCCCAGAGAACGACAGAGGGGCTTCTACCAGAACCTGGTAGTCCGTGGAAATCCCTCTGCTGGGGGAGGTCTGAGGAAATGCACCTGTTAGATTGCAAGTATGGCAAGCACACCGGACATGACCTGGCTTTAAAAACAGTTTCTGCACAGCTTACCACCTACTCAAGAACTCTTCTGAAATATTCATGTCATGTGCTGAAACTGCAAGGTAATTTCTTTTGAGATGTGCACCATGGCTACATTTTTATATTAACACATTGTATGAACATGAATTTACATGCCCCTCATTTTGGAGGACTCAACGTGAGGTAAAACTTTAAAACTGCCAAGGGCAGAGAGGACTGAGTGCATGGGAGACATGGAGTGACATCAGTATTGGCTCCTAGAAGCAGTCCTACTGGTTTTTAAAAATAGCCTGTGTTTTTGCTGTTCTAAAGCTAATGTCAGAAAATCCAGTGGAACTTTGCAGGACTGAGATAACGTGCTCTACTCATGTGGGTGACCCTTTGGGTGAGGATGTGTTTTAACCCAGATATTCCTTTCTATTCTAGGGTGTGTTGTATGACCTGGACAAGGTACGTTTTCCTCCTTTCTTTGGGATGTTGGTGAAGAGCAAATATCTGCATATTGGAGTAGATTCTGCGAGAGCCATAATGATGTCTGGTGGCTTTTCTAACCTTGAAAAAAACCCACGCTTCATCCAGCACGGGATGAAGAGTAACTCCCATGACCTCCAGATTCAGTGATGTGTTGAAGGTCACTTCCAACAAAAAAAAAAAAAATTTTTTTTATACATTTTGATGTTACAGTTTCTCAGTGTTTTGATGAGTTTAAGAAAATTCCAAGACTCAGGAGACCCTTACCTGTGTTGTCCTTAGGTTGAACTACCATATTTTCATCAAGTCTCACACAGCTTTGATTGGAAAACGTACTCCTAATTGATATGCCAGTGAGGAAAAAAAATGGCTCCACTTAAACTTTGATAGTCTTTTCTCTTCACTTAGCATCTGTGTGTTTTTTGGAGCTTAGTTTTGTTTTTATAATATATGTATGCTGCTGTGTTCTTTCCATGCCTTTCTATGTATGTAATTACTTGATTTCAATGCTGAGTCATAGTAAATTCTAAAGACATTTTAAAGGCAGTTACATTAAGCACATGTAATCACAGTAATATTCATAACTCAAGGAACTGACATGTGTGAACTCTGATTGTCATGGAGCATGTAAAAGCAGCTGTCTACCCCTTGGCCAGCAGTAATTATACAATACACCCCAACTTCAGAGACACTAATGATGTAGAGGCAAAAAAAAAAATGTCCAACTTAGATAAAATATATTATGAAGAAATTATATATGCTATCCTGCCAGAAATCCAGTGAGTTCCAGTGTGTTGGCTTCTTTGATGTTAAACACAAGTATTCCAAAAACGAACTCACATTCTTCTCAGAAGAGTCAAATTTTGAAAAACACATTCCAAGTTAGTATTAGAGAACATCTAAAACAGCAACAAATGCAGAAGAAAAGGGGAAAGGTATAGCATTTTTGTTACTTTTGAAAATGGGATAATAAGATAGAAGCTCAGACTGTAAAACTGTAAATGGCTGTACTCTTTTCAAACTTTCTCTTTTAATTGCAGCAAATTAAAACGATTGAAAGATACATGAGACGCCTGGAGTTCCACATTAGCAAGGTAACTTGTCTTGGCCTCTGTCTGTGAGCTATAGATCAATACCATTTTCAACCAGCACAGGGCATCGAGTCTGTGGAGAGGTTCTCAGAGGAGTCCCAGACTGACCGAGGGGTGTGTAAGGCTTCCAACGGGCAGCAAAATAGGTCAGGCTCCACTCCAGCCTGCACACTTCTATCCAGTAGTTCCTGCAGAGCATGCAGAGGGCCTGTTAGAAAACTTGGGGTCTGTGCATGTGGTCAGAAATGAGACTGAACCAGACCGACTGTACAAACCGTAACTGCCTGACTTTGCACTCTGGTCCTGCATGTGACTTGGTGCCCCACAGCCACGTCTTGAAGGCCTTCTGAGTCTTCAAGGACAGCCATCCCTGAGTCTCTCTTAGTCTTTCTTGGTTCCTCCCAGTCATCCTCACATGCATTGTGGCCAGATGTTTTTTCATTCTCGTTACCTGAAGACAGGCACAGACATTTGTCGGTGTTCATGACAAACAGCCCTGAACTCAAAACTGTTTCACAGATGGTCCAATTAGCCTGGAGTGAGTGGGACTATCTTCTCTCTATGCCAGATTCTATCAGGGTTATCAGTGCAACCTAGAGATTTCTCTCTGGGAGCAGCTAAGTTACACCACGCAATTCATGATCTCATGATCCCCTTCATCCTCTCTCTGGTTACGTGTAGGTTTTAGCAGTTCTCTGCTCTAGGAGTCAGAATCTTAGGTTCTAGTCCCAACTGTGCTTCACGGAGACATTGGCTACCCATTCTGTGAAAGGGAGGAGGAAGAGAAATGTATGTCCTCCCAAGAATCCTTTCCTGTTTCATCTGTACGCAAGTTGGCTACGTTCCGTTTGAGGACATGTATTATCTCAGCAAATCTAGAGTTGCTCTTGTTTATGTCAAACTCAATAAATAACAAAACAATGACAGCCATTGGAAGGTATTCATGTGGTAGGCAAGCTTGGGCACATTTTTCTGTTTACTTCAAAAAATAGAAACATAGGTACAAAGTTTGTACTGAGATGAAAACTCAGATAATCCTGGCTAGGTGACTGTTCACAGGTTTCATTTGTTTCTGCAAATGCCAGGCCGTAGGATCCTTGTTAGTTGTTGGAAAATGTTGGTTTTGGGTGCTAAAAGTGGTAAAAGACTAGAGAGCGTGATGCATCATCAGAAGTAACCATAGAATAGCTTTTCTTCAGCCTCCACTTATTGGGCTTTGGGATAAATCTTTACTATAAGAACTGTCCTCTGTATTGTAGGATGCTTAGCAGCACCCCTGGCTTCCACTAGGTGGATGCCAGGAGACCCCTGGGGGTCAATGTCATCTAGGGTGGATTGAGGCTCACTGCTTTAGAATATTAAGTGATTATCAGGCTTTGTATAGTGAATATGATGAATAATCATAGAGTAACTGGTCATTTAAAATGACGTATTCTTGGGCAGCATTTGGCTTGGCAGTAAGCTGTCATTGGGATGCCTACATCCCATGTTGGAGTGCTTGTGTTAAGTCTCAGCTCCATTCCCAAATCCAGGTTCTTGTCACTTTCACCTTGGGAGACTGCAATGATGGCTCAAGTAGTCTGGTCCTTGCCACCAGGTATAAGGCCTGGATTGAGTTATCAACTCTCATCGTGGTTCATGGCTTTGGCCTAGCCCAACACTGATCATTCAGATATTTGGGGAGCAACCCAGTAGATGAAGGTTGTTAATACAGAGATGTAGCAAGAAGTTAATTTTCATCATTCTTGTTTTTGAAGATTAATTTTTATTTGAAAGAGTTACTTAGAGAGAGGGAAAGACAGAATGGACTTCCATTTACTGGTTCACTCCACAAACCTGAGCTGATTCAAAGCTGGGAGTCAGAAGCCTCTCCTAGGTCTCCCATCTGGGTACAAGGTCCCAAAGACTTGAGCTACCCTCCTTTGCTTTCCCAGGTGTAGTAGCAGGGACCTGGGTGGGAAATAGAGCAGCCAAGACTCAAACCAGCACCCATATGGGTGGGATGCTGGCACCACAGGCAGCAGATTTACCTACTATGCCATGATGCCAGCCCCTCATTGGTTTTATTTGTCTTAAATTGTGTGACAACTTACACACAAAATAATTCATTTCTTAAATATTCACTCAGTTTGATAAGATTTGACCAATTATTTCACCTGCATTTTAAGAGTAATATTATAATGCTTATTTTCTCTTTATTATTGAGCCAAGAATTTACAAAAATTGTTAGTAATAAACAACTCCAATTTCCTTATTTAAAAAAAAGTGCTGAATCTGGATAAACACCTTCTAATCAGGCAGAGCCCAGATGTGAAGCTACATCCATTTGCCCAGCCCCTGAGCCATGTGTAGCCACGTCTTCATTATCCAGCTCTCCGACGGCCACAAAAAAGACCCACAAAACCACCCCAGATCATCTTAAACAATGTCATCAATAGCCTCAAAGGATGCAAGAGATATTTTAACTCTGATTTGATAACAGGATCAAGGTGAAATCTATCTTGAGATACAAAATGGATGATAGTGACTAGAACAGAAATACCAGCCTCTATTTAAAAGAACAGTATTTGGGGGCAGGCCTTTGGCACAGCCATGAAGACACCTGTCAGAGTGCTCAGGTTTGAATTCCAACTCCCTGCTATTGCAGACCCTCAGAGGCTACAGGGACGGCTCCAATCCATGGGTCCCTCCCCCTCACTCAGAACACCTGCATTGAATTCTCAACTTGCACCTTGACCTGGCCCAGTCCCAGCCATCCCTCTGCCTGTCTTCCCTCTGCCTTTCAAGTAAATAATTAGAAACTATTTACACCAGGTTCTCCCCTGTGAGGTCAGAAATAAAGTGGCTTAAACACATGACAAGGCCCTAAATAAACATCCTTCATAAATGACAGTATTTATGCCCCTGTGTTTCCTGCTGTGACTATGGCAGGTGGATGAACTCTATGAAGCTTACTGTATCCAGCGACGCCTCCAAGATGGTGCCAGTAAAATGAAGCAAGCCTTTGCCAGTTCCCCAGCCAGCAAAGCTGCCCGAGAGAGCCTTTCTGAGATCAACCGCAGCTTCAAAGAATACACAGAGGTACGATCTGCTTGATTGTTCCACCCCCACCTGGCCTGATCTGAGTTATGGATAACTGTTAATGGCAAGGCAAACGAGCCCCCCCAACCTCCTTCCACTCTCTAGAGAGTTCTGCCTCAAAAGGAAAAAAGAAAAGTGAAAGCAGCCAGCAGGTGAAATTGTTTACCACTAATGGGTTAAGCTGCAGTGCTCTGCTTTTTGGCATCTAAAGGCCCTCACCAATATTCCCGGGTGTAGGCTCCAACCCCCCAAAGTTAAGCAGTTAAGATGGATGTGGAAGGTGGGTGTCAGTAAACCTTCCACCTAGTATAACAGAGAAATTCTTCCGTTAAGGCAAACGAGATGAACACATGTGCATCTCTCCTGATTGCTGCCTCCTGGGGCCCCAAGCATCTGACACAGGGAGATCTTCACTCACTCTGGGGTCACCCAACACCAGTGCCTTTCTTGAAATGACTGAATTATTGAAACCGCACTTCTCACTGTCCCATGAGTCTTTGTTCAGGGGTCACATTTCCTGGATGAAGTCATCAGCCCCAGGAGGGTCTGCTGCTTGATTCACAGGGCTGAGCCTGCTGGCTAACTCTCAGCAGGATCGCAGTGTGTCCGCTCAGTGTCACCTCTTGTCTGGACCGCACGATGCATTCACCTGACATTCCCTTCCCAGGATGATATTTTCTGGGTGCATAAGCTATCAAAAGAGAAAAATGATACAGCAGTGGCCCTGATGACAGCTAAAATTTCAGAGTAATGAAAAATTGCAAATATTTTCAAGGTTTTCCACCATAAAAAAAAAATACAGTGTGAAATGTATGTAATCATTAAGCTCAAGGAGAGGTTAATGAAGATGAAGATGTAAGTCTATCCATTCTCATCCAAGTTTGTGGACCTGTGACTTGAGAATCCCTGTTTAGATGTGGGTGTAGACCATGAGAGCTCATCTCCAAAGGCCTCAGAAATCCAAAGGGTGATGTCAGTTATACAGGCTGCTCGCAGGATGCAGGCAGATCACTGGTCTGCAGCAAGGAAGAGCTCCAGGAAGCGTTCATAGGTTGCCTCAGAAATGGCCACCCTTGGTCAAGTGCTAAGGACATGCAACTGTGACTTTGCTTCGCCATTCAGAGTTGTGAAGTACAGTCTAAGCCTTTCATACCAAGGGATGCCTTAGAGGAAAGTGAGGTCCAAAGACACTTGTGGCCGAGAGTGTCCTCATCTGCTCACCTAACTGCCCTTCCAGTTCTTCAAAGTTGCTATTAGCCACTTGACCTGCACAGCAACATGCGTGAAGTAATTTGTCCCCTCACCGACCTGCCTCGTACCCTGACAGAGTAAATTGGCTTGCGATGCTGAGACAGTTTTCCAAGATTTGCAGCTGAATGAAGTTCAGATCTCAGCAAATGTTCCCCAGCATTGGTGAGCAACGTGAGATATTGAGAATAGATGAGGGAGGAAGGGGCTGTGGTTCTCTTTGTAGTCTGCGAGAATGACCAGTCCAGGCAGAACAAAGTGATAGACAGAGCCAGAGGCTGAAGCCTTATAAAACGAAGCCCTCTGCACACAAAAGCAGGATGGACTGGGTACCTGGCAATGCCTGCTGTCCTTGCCTCAGAGTGGCCACCCCAAGCCTCCAACTGTGATGGAATAGCCTGCTGGTGCCACGTAGGGCTGTGGGACAGACTGCTGTTCAGGGTGGCAGAGCTGGCATCAGAGTCTACCCCAGCGAGTACAGGAGTGTCTGATTCGGGCATCCCTGACCCCACACTGTCCTTTTGATTTTTTGACTCTGCTAGCTCTGATGATGTCCTTCAACGCTGAGGATGCGATACCTGCTGGGTAGTGTAGCCTTCTGCCTGTGCTGTCGCCCAGCCTTGGGTGGTGGGAGAGCACCCTTGTCACATGCCAGAATCTCAAGCATGTGCTGCGCAGCATGACCAGAGTCCTGCCTCCCTGACCTGTGTAGAACTGGGCTTCTTTGGCCCTTGCTTTTTATTAGAGAGAATGTCAGGCCTACAGACAAGTCGAAAGAATAGAAAATTAAAAACTCATGCACTTAGATTTACCCATGAAATGGCTTCCCTTCCATCTTCTATGTTGAATTTTTTCTTCCCAGTCATTTGACAGCAATGAAAGATATTTCTTCATTTCACCCAATGAAAATTTTAGTGTGATGTCTTTTTATTTTCTTTTTAACAATTGACCAGTAAAAACTGTTCATGCTTTTTGTATGCAAATGATGTGAAATGTGAGCACATTGTAGCAGAGGTAAATCTAACTTACATATAGCATAGAGCTCTCTAAATGGTAACCATGCAGACTGTGTATCTCCTGTAAAAACACATGCCATTATCCAAAGCAAGGAAACTAGCGATCAACTTACGGAATTTTCTGGTACTGTTCCAGGTCTCCCCGGTTTGGCCCAGGGTCATCTTCTCTACCTGTTGTAGCTTATGGTCTTTCAAATCAGAACATACTCAAGCCTGAGGGCCCCGTTAGTGGTCACACCTGTCTTTAGTCTCCTTACTGAGAATTTCTTTCCCCTTGTGTAGAGTCCAGGCCAGGTCAGAATGTCGTCAGAATGTCCCACATTCTGGATGTGTCTGACTAATTTCGGCATTTTTGCTCATCCATGCCTTCAATTTCCCGTATGACAGAAAGCCTGCTTAGACTCAGGTTAAACGTCAAAAGTGTTTTCACGGAGAGTGTTCTGGTTGTGGAAGGTGAACTGCTGTTCTGAAAGGAGTTCTGATGCTCTTCTGCTGTCCTCTTTGCAGAATATGTGCACCATAGAAGCGGAGCTGGAAAACCTGCTGGGAGAATTCTCCATCAAAATGAAAGGTACTTTGCCCTCCTTGCAGAATGTGAGAGGCTGTCCCTGCAGGGGCTCTTGACATGCCAGAGCACGGTGTTTTCATTCTCTTTGCAAAGACCTGAGACCTGGTGCTGCCCACTCCCAGCCCTCCACGCTCACATTATTGATGCCTGTAATCCTAACTCTTTGCGACCCACTTAACAAGCTTATTGTGAGAGGGTCTCAAGCACAAACAGATGCAGAGAGAAATTATATTGAACTTCCAGAAGAAACCCATCACCTAGACTCACTGATTTGCAAGATTTTTGCCATGTTTATCTCACTTGTTTTCTTTGTTTTTCCTTTGATGGATGAAACACAACCCAGATAGACCAATGTTCTGGAGATCTGAGTGCGGGTTAGCATGTGGTCACCGCTCACACAATTAATAAGCCTTTGTTACTCACTGCTCCCCTCATTGTTTCCTCAGTTGTCTCAAAACTGGACAATGATGTATTGAAGTTAGGGCCTCGACGGGGTCAGGGCGCTGTAATTGTTAGGTGTATCTTCAACTTTAAAACAAACCCTTCCCCCTTCCCCTACTCTAGATTTGGAGAAAGTATCATTATGTTCCATGCTCCGCCTGTCTGCATTGGCATCTTGGCGGTCTCATTTCAACCGCACCTTCAGCCGCTATTGTTTCTGTAACCATCTTAACCAATGTGCGTCACAGAGTTTCTGGGGGAAAAATGGAATATAAAAATAAGCATATTTTAGTCCAAATGTTTTTAAAATCCATACATAGTTTTTTTCATAATACACATTTTCCATGAACTTTTTGGAGATCCTTCTACCCAGTCTTTTGATTTGTTTCTTTTTGTTTGTTTGTTTGGGTTTTTTTGCTGTTAAATCCCCCAGTGTGCCTTTTTCCCTTTCTTATAGTGCTTTTTTGGTGCTTATTCTAGAAAGTTCCCATCCAAGCAGCAGTCTGATCTATGTCCCCCCAGAGAAGAAGTAGGGAGCGAGGAAATGGAGCCATGTCCAGGTGTGTCCAGTGAGCGCTTAGGAGCCAGGTGGACGAGCAGGGAGCAGCCACATCTCTCCCCCTGCCACCCCGAGTTCCAGTCCCTCAGGCCACAGCCAAAAGGGACAGGGCATACACACATTCCTTAAAGTCATCTTTTAAAGGGCTCCACAGGATTTCAATGAATCATCTCACTTCCTCCCTCACATGAGAACACACCCAGGGCCCTGCCCCTCAGCGCCCCACATGGATGCAGCCTGCCTCCTCCAGGGGACCCAGAGGTTATACCTCAGGATTTACTACTGAGTCACGCCTGCCTCTGTGCCCTTCCAGCTCCAGACCCCGCCTTGCCGAGCCTCCCCAGAGTCAGTGGTTCCAAAACTGGCCAGCCCCTCTTCCAACAAACAGCCCACAGCCCTTGTGCGGGCCCTGGGCTGTTTCTGTGTGTTTGTTGTCTCCAAGATTTATGTATGAAGTGGAGCAGCACTCATATCGGATGCTGGCGTCACAAGTGATGTGACTTATCCTGCTGCACCACGCTGCTGGGCCCTTGGCTATTTTTTTAAACTTTTAGGATGATTCGGTGAGCAGCCAAGACTGGAACATAAAACAGCCCTGAGTCAGGGTTGGGCAGAAACTCTACAGCGCCACCTGGTGGTAGAGCTGAGACACGTTCCCATCCCGCAGCCTGCAACGTCCTGTGGTTTCCCTGCTTCCCTGTTATCCAGTGTGTCCATTTGAGATGGAGCAGTCACCGATTTCCCATTTTAGAGATGGGAAATGGGGGAGGGGCCACTAGGATTAGGTGACTCGACCCAGAAATCACACCGGAAGTTGCTTTGAAACAGGAACTCTGGACCCCAAATACATTCCCAGCCCCAACTGTGTACTATGCAGTAAGCCCTGTGAACCCCTGTTCAGAGGCCGCCCCATTCAGCCCAGCAGAGGCTCTCTGGGAGTGGAGTCACAGTAAAGGGACAGTCCACTGTCCAGTCTTGGGGCTCAGCAAGGGGAGACACCGGGGCCCTGAACACCCAGCTCTGGACAGTGCTGGAGGAATGCAGGCCCATGGCTCTCTGAACCTCCTGCTCCTCCAACTGTCCTTCCTTCACTTCTCCCAGTCTCTGCATCTTTGGTATTTTCCTCATTCTCAGACGTGGCAAACCCTGACTTCTCCCACCACCCCCAGCAACATCACACTTCCCTTTCTGTCCCACCCCCAAGACACAGGCAACTATGTGAGGATGGGCAGTGGGGATGATGAAGGCAGCAAAGCCAGTACTTACCGCCTGGTCCACCAGGCTTCACCCTCCTGGGTGGTCCCTGGCCTTGGTCCCTGCTGGAGAAAATGGCTGCTGGGCAGGCCCATAAGCTGCTCAAGCAATGCACTAGGTGCCCCTTGGGAATGTGGACCAACCATGGGAGCAGCTTGCTGCAGAGCCACTCACTGCCAAGGATGGAGATGCCCCAGGGTAACCTTTATGCAGCATGAGCTGGATTGTTCACGTGTTGTGACAGCAGCCCCTTGGGCAGAGCGTTCACCCAGGGGACCTGTGCTCAGAAATGACAGGCCAATCAGGCAGAAAGCTGAGCTGGACGAGAACTGTGGAGAGTTCTCGTTGGAGCCAGCTGAGGAAGAGCAAGGAATCAGGCTAAGGAAGTGCCCCGGAGCCCTGGCTGTCACGGGGCGTGGGGGTGAGAGACAGTTCCTTAGGGAAAACTGATCCTCTGCCCCAGCTGTGATTCAAGTTCCAGGCACATCAAGAGTGCTGTGCTAACCCCACGGCTTCCAGGCCTCCTGAGCAGGAAAAGCGAGCGGTGAGTTAGGACACGCTGCTGTGTGTACCTAGATCCTTAGGGCCCGTGAGCTCTTATCCCTACAGCAGGCAGTGTTGTCCTTAGAAAACTATTAGAGAACTGGAAAAAAAAATGAGGGAAAATATTCTTTAAAAAAAATTTTTTTTGAGATCTATTTATTTGAAAACGAAGTGATGAAGAGAGCTAGATGATCCATCCCCTGGTTCACTCCCCACAAAGCAGCAATGGCCAAGGTTGGGCCAGATGGAAGCCAGGAGCCTGGAACTCTAGCCACGAAGCCCACATGGGTGGTAGGGCCACTAGGGCCATCTTCAAGCACTGTTTCCCTAAGCATATTAGCAGGCAGCTGGATCAGAAATGGAGCAGCTGGGACTTAAACCAGCGCTATGTTTATGGGATGCAGGTATCACAAGCAGCGACACAGCTTAATCCACTGTTGTACAACACAGTCCCCAAGAGAACCTTCTTCTGATAGAATGGTGTCTGGAAGATGAAGTTGGGGGACTGCAAGCTGTGGCATCTGGGCCCTCCACGTGAGGTTGTGGGAGAGCCTCGCTAGCGTTAATACAGGACCGCGAATACAGCAGCACACCCAAAGGCACCAGCAGGTGCACCATGAGATAAAATCCCCCAGTTCCCACCTACTCCCCAAGCGTATCCCACAGAGGTGATCGCCAGGAAGGTTCTAGAGGGGGGCGGTCAGAAGAAAACCTTGCCAGACACGCCAACACTAACCATGAAACTGCTGAAACATACCCAGCCTTCTCCAGCGGTGAAAGATGCTAACAGAACCCAGCCCAGAACCTGAAGCAGACCTGTGGGGCCTCTCAGGCCATCACAGCCACTGCCCACCACACCACTGACGGTGCCGGTCCTGCACCCGGGACCAAGGGCCTGTGTAAGCCACAGTGCCGCAGCGACACTGCCTTGCTCTGTGACAGCCATACTAGGAGCAGTTCCAAGATATGTTGCTTTAATAATACGAATACAGGTGCTCACAGCCATCTCTACCAAGTAGCTTTCTCCCACTTGGTTAAGCACTTTGGACATGAAATTTCTGGTAATTTTGAAAAGAAAACAAACCTTTTAAAGCTTTTCCCCTTTACTCACCTTTACCTAGCAGTAATACTAGGTCAGTTTCATTTTAATCAGACTCTCATTGTCATCGGGCGAATAAACAGGCAATGATTAATCCCAAGCTAATTTGTTGAGGTTTTTCAGAAAAATGCTTTTGATGTTATTAGAATTAGCTTGTCTAACTTTGGCTTTATATAAAAGCCAGCCAATTATGCCTTCTTTCAGAAGCTTTAAAAAAAAAAAGTAAATGCTCCAAAAGTTATTAGTGAAAATAGGCTTCTAAATCTGCACTTATTTCAGTTAAGTGGCTTGTTAGGTTCCAATTAACAGTGAAAGCTATTGCAATGTGCACCGCCCAGGAAGGCCTCCGAGTCGGACCGGTGAGCTGCTGCCATCTCCTGGCAGGGATGGTTACTGCAGGTGCATTTTAAAGCCTCCATTGCCCTGGGTTATCCCGTTATTACCACGGCTGCTGACCGAAGGAGGAATTCACCATGGCCCATATCCCCCTTGTCTTGGGAACCTGTGAAATCCCTGGGTAAACAGGTCTTCTTGAAATTTTAAAGTAGTATCCTCTGCTTTCAAAAATTAACCAATAGGGCCTGGCGCGGTATTCTAGTGGCTAAAATCCTCCCCTTGCACACACTGGGATCCCATATGGCTACTAGTTCTAATCCCGGCCGCTGAGCCTCCCATCCAACTCTCTGCATAAGTCTTTTTAAAAATTAACAAATAATACTCCCCCAATTAAAACCACAGATCATCAACTCCACTAATGCTAACCATTAAGTCCAGCCCACACATACGCTGCCAGCCAGCACAGGTACTGCTTTTTATCTTTCTTTTTTCTTTACTACTAAATAACTATGTAATATTTTTAAGAATTGTATTAACTTTCTCTGTAATTCCATCCTACTTGCCTAGTTATTTTACCAGTTCATCATGTTTTTGTAGACTTTTTCCTGAGAGTGTAGTTGTGTAAGTGTATAGAGTCAAGATCATATTTTACATAAGGTCTTGTGCCCTGCCTCTGTTAGCACTTCATATTACAGCATTAAATAGTGCCTCTTATTAAAATGTCACTCTAAACGCTTATGCTAGAATTTTAATTTTTTTCATAAAATTTTATTAGTCTCATCAGAAGAGTGAAAACTGACAAAAGTTCTTTGACATTGGTGTTAAACTTGCTGCTTGATTAAACGTTTGCCTCTTTGGGTCGCTGTGCACGTGTCCTGGCTTTGCTCTGTGCTTGGTATCCGAGCAACTGACAGATGCTGAGGCAAGTGATGGTCGTGAACCTGGGCTTCTGGTCACCTTCTCTCGGCTAGTGGCCTCCCTTCACTATGTCCTGGTGACTTGCATGCCTTTATTCCTGCCGGGCAGATGGCCGACATTCTTGGGAGCCTGCAGAGTGCACATATGCACGGGCCGGAAGCACCTGTGCCTTTGTTGCATTGACCAGTTCTGTGGTCCAAATGTTTCTGGCCTCTGTCAGACCATCATTCACATGAGACAGGAAGACTTTGGATTTCAGCTGTGTCAGTAGTGTGTTCTCACACAGCATGCACTTGTCATCAGGTTAGACACTGCTTGGGACACCTGCGTCCCCTAGCAGGGGGTGACTCACCCCTGGGTGAGAGTCCTGGCTCCATTTCTCTTCCCAGCATGCCCTGGGAGACAGCAGGTGGTGGCTCAAGTACTTGTGCACTGCCACCCACGTGAGAGATACAGATTAAGCTCTGGCATTCCAGGTTTGGCCTAGCCCAGCCCTGGTTCTGATAGTCATTTGAAGATGTGCACTTGTGTATGCCTTTTCAACTAATTAAAAAGTAAATACAGAAAAATACCCTGAAAAAGAAATTGCTAATCTTAGATCAGGAAGAAAAACAAGGGAGCCGTTTCCCCCCATGGGAGGGTGCTGGGGAGATAACGGAGTGTTGGCCCTAATATCCTGACCTTGGGACTTGCCCCCGAAACATACTGCTCTCTCACCTCCCCCCCACTTAAGCAGCGGTCCCTGCTGCAGGAGGGACCTGCCCCTTGCCTGTGTGCTTGGCCAGAAGGTCCTCTAGCCATGGCACATGCCATTCCTAGAAAAACTACTCCCCTACAGACGCATTGTGAGTTTTCATTTGAGTTTTCCTGTGTCCCAGAACTCACGCCCCACTGTTTGCTTGCAGGCCTGGCCGGCTTTGCTCGTCTCTGTCCCGGAGATCAGTATGAGGTAAGTGGCAATGTGGGTGTGTGAGCCAAGCACCCAAAGGGCAGGGCCACACTAGGTCATTGGGCCTTTTACAGTGTCTGCTGCTTTTTTCTTTTCTGTGTTAAGCCAATGAGGAGCTTTGGAGATTGGTGCAAGACCTTCCCTGCTTTTTGATATTATAGTCACATTCACACTCACTATTACCATTAGAAGTAGTAGTGCTAGCATTATTAAGAAGCTGTTATTGTTTAGGGCAAACCTTTAAAATGCAGACATTCTGTCCCCTCATCCCTAACTCCTTCTAGGAAAAGGCAGACATTCAGCTGTATGGGCATCGCATCATTAATCACACTGGGACTTCCGCTCCTGGAATCTGTTCTACAGTCTGTTTTCAGCTGAGTGCCCCAGTATTATTATTGATAGGCTTTTGAAGAAATGATCCATGCATAATTTTATTCATATATATATGAACATATACACATATGACATATACATATATTTTAAACGTTTTTTTCTGGTTCAAGATCCAGTCTCAAGTCATGACTGAGAAGTAATGATATTTGTATTTTTCTTTATAAAAACACACTGCAAAAAGTAAAAAGTGTCTTTTCTCCTTTCCAAAGGGAACTTGCATGGTAGTTTCATTGATCTATCTCCTCCAGAACCTTCTCTGATCCAACCTTCCGGGGCTGGGGGAGTATCTTCCCTGACAGCCCAGGACACCTGCCTGTCATCTCCCTAGACCTCAGGTTTTCATTCTTGCCAGCTGACTGCTTAGCAGCTTTTGACTGATGGCTTCTTATCTCAGCAAGGAGCAGGGGCAGGTGGAGAACTAGTCCTAGTGGCTACCCTATTGATGTAGAACTAGCAAGAGAAGCGGCTGTCTGTCACGAGCCCCCAGTGCCTTGACCTTCTGCTAAGGAAAGTCACCCCCCCTCCTCCCAGCAAAGCAGAATCAGTTGCCTTTGAAGGCTCTCTTCCCTTTCATCCCAGCTTCTAAGAGCCAGAATGAGGGTGGGGTAGCTGTCACCTTTTTTTTTTCTCCTTGCCCTTCTGATGTTGAGGTTTGTCTTGGGGAGGCCAGTGAGACATGAGTCATGTGATGTCTTCTCAGATTTTCATGAAGTACGGCCGGCAGAGATGGAAGCTGAAAGGCAAGATAGAAGTCAATGGCAAGCAGAGCTGGGATGGAGAAGAAATGGTTTTCGTGCCCCTGATAGTAGGGTTCATTTCCATTAAGGTACAGTACTGTCGTTGCCTTGATTGGTCATTCCTGGTGCCACGGTTGCTGGTCCACTAGCAGGAACCTTTTCCCATGATGGCTGACACTGCTCTTCCATCCAGACACTTCTCTCTGTGCTGCGCAGTCATTACCAGGCAGCTGTTTTCATGTGTGTGCCCTGTGCCCTTCAATCTCTCTACCAGGTCACGGAGCTCAAAGGGCTCGCCACACACATCCTGGTGGGCAGTGTGACCTGTGAGACTAAGGAGCTGTTTGCAGCCCGGCCTCAGGTGGTGGCTGTGGACATCAATGACCTCGGCACGATCAAGCTGAACCTGGAGATCACCTGGTAGTAAGTGACAGCTTTGACGTCCTCTTGTCTCAACAAGTGGCACTGACCAGTGCCGTTCCTCAGAGTGGCCACATGGACCACCAGCCTCACCAAGGCACTTAGAACCTTAGAACAATTGATGTTGTGTTGGTCTGTTGTCCCATATGTAGAAAGAGAAAAAAAAAGCCTGAGATCAGATCATATACAATGGATGGAGGCCAATGGAAGTGGAAGCCGGAAGTCTAAATGGCATCATTCAGGCTGTGGGCAAGCCTTATGGAGGACAGAGGAATGATCTGCTTGGGGCAGAGATGGACCTTTACAACAACTAGGGAAAGAGCTGCTCTCCAAGGGCCCCATCCCAATAACCAGAGGACCTCTCAGCAGGTCACCTCGCAACAGCGCCACCCAGGGGACTCTCTAACAATACCGCTGCAACAGGGGCCCAGATCCAACACAGGAAATTTGTTGAATAGGTTCAAACCAGGTCCGTGGGATGTATTGATCGGAACGTTTAGGATCTCCTTTACAAATTAGTCTGTAGGGAAGCAGCAGAAGCTGCCTGGGAATCAGACCCTGCCAGTGCTCTTTGCCCAGAATCTGTAGCCCAGAATGGCCTAAGGCCATTCTTGTTGCATGAACTGGATGTCATGTGAATCAGCAGCTCCACTGTGAACAGACTGCTCTCCTCTTCCCAGACACGCGAGAACCTGTGTCACCCGGAGTGAACGGGATGCTGTTTTTGAGAGCTTTTCTCTGGAAGGGAACAGTAATCTGCTTTCCTTTCACATTGTTAGAGTGTCTGCCCTTAAAAAAAAAAAGCTCATATTTTTGCACCTGTTTTCAATATCTTGTTACACTGGGGCAAGCAGTCATGTGTTGATGTCCCCCGTGTTTATGAGGAAGCAGACACATCCAGATGATGGTGATAAATGGTGCTGGAGGGTGTGCTGCCGTGGCTGGCTCTTGGTGTAGTCTCCCATCCCACTCTCCTTCCCTCCTGGCTCGAGTGTATTTGCTGAACCTGCAGGCTGCTGGTGATAGGGGATGTGAACAGCTGTGCACATGTGCAACCTGTTGTCTTGCAGTCCCTTTGACGTGGAGGACACAACGTCATCGTCGGGTGCTGCCAACAAGACAGCGGCCCTGCACAGGAGGATGTCCATGTACAGCCAGGGCACCCCAGAAACGCCCACTTTCAAGGAGCACTCATTCTTTGTAAGTTCTGCATGACTTAACATGAGCCAGCACTTGCACCCAGGATTTGAAATGCCAACAGATAGTGTCAGAGACGGTCCCTAACCCCCTGGTTGTATGATGCTTAAAGCCTGCCATAATCAGTAATGCCCATGAGAATCCCATCCTGAGATGCCCTTAGCCCTGCACGGCAGGTGGCAGCCCTCCTCTGTCTGTCTTCTCCCCTCACCCCACTCTTCCTGTGGCTTGGAAGATCACCTGTGGTCTCTTCTGGACAGTCCCTGAGACAAGTCTTATGAGGAAGGGGAGATTGGTATTGGCTTCCTTGTTTGTGTCAGAAACACTGGCTAAAAAGCTAACCAGCACACGGTAACCTGATTCTGCCGCTAACTCCCTGTCTCGCTTTGGTTTCTGAAGAGGTGGCTGCTCCCTTCACCAGACAAGCCCCGCCGGCTGTCTGTCCTGAGTGCCTTGCAGGACACTTTCCTTGCCAAGCTGCACCGCAGCCGCTCCTTCAGTGACCTACCCTCCCTCAGGCTCAGACCCAAGGCCGTGCTAGAGTTTTATGTGAGTGGGGCCTGCCCCCCGGGTGTGATGTGCTTGACTTTGGGGCTGGTGCATGTGTGCTTAGCATGTCTCCTGTCTCACCTTCCTCTGTCTGGCTCGCTCACTCACTGGCTGGGCAGTGGTCGAAGCTGTCCGTGCTGGGTGGGGAACTGGGTCCTGCATGCACCTTGGTGGTTCTCCTCTTCTCGTGAGCCCTCGGTTTGTGCAGTGATATTTCCTCCACTGTGACAGGTATCTGTGGTGACAAGATTTTCAATTTGTAAAAAATGACAGTGCACTTCCAGGCAAAGATGATTTTATTTTGGAAGATGAAGTAGGTCATCCCTGATATTGGCTCTTCCAAAACTGGTATTTGAGAATCTCCAAAGGATTAGACCAATTTCACTAGGACTCTTTTCTTTGTGAAGAAGTTCTTAGTCTGAGTTTACTGTTGCTATATATACCCTGCTCTTCATGGACTGATGAATGCAATTGTTGAATGTCCAGTGGGGAAGGATAGAAAGTACAGGGGACTTCAAAAAGGTGGTGAAAAAGGAAATTATGAAAACCTGTGCATAGATTTCAAAAATTTCTTACACCAAAATAAAACTGTCCCCTTTTTTCCAACTTATTTTCATTTTCTTTGAAAGGAAGAGAGACAGGTCTTCCATCGACTAATTCATTCCTCCAAATGTCCGTAACTGCCAGGCTTGGCCAGGCTGAAACCAGGAGCTAATACAATCTTGGGCTCCCACAAGGGTGGCACGGGTCCAAGTATTTGATTCATGACTTGCTCTGCCTTGTAGGATGTGTGTTAGCAGGTTGCTGGAATGAAAAGTGGAGCTGGTACATGGATCCACCCACATCCCACTTCAGCTCGGGATGGGAATATCAGAAGTATTGTCCAAGCTATAGTTATCAAACACCTACCCTTAACTATATCTTTTAATTCAGCTCTTTCACGAACTTAAGTACTCTCATCATTATATTTTATCTCTTGAATGAAATATATATATATATATATATATATATTTATGAAAAAGACCTGGCTAAATTCTAATGGATTTCAAAGAAAAATAAAAAGATTATGTGAGGGAAATATACATGAAAATATTCCCCCCAAACAGTATGACTAACAGAGCTATGTATGCCGAAGTAGCAGTATGTATGTATATTCATGTTCATATATGCAGGTTGGAGGGTTCTGGTAGTAGAGAGTAGGTGGAGTTAATAGTATCATTTAAACAAGAGCATGGCTAGGTAAAGTCGAGTGGCTTCCCATGCCTGTGGATAATGCAAACATCCTCATGGTGGCCATGCTGCTGGCCACAGACCACCCTCTATGTCCCTCTCTTTCCTCTTTTATAAACTTGCCCCATCCTCCAATGCACCACATCCTTTGAAGATCCCATATCTTTGCACACTCTGCTCCATCTAAGAGGTACTGCCTCCTGCTGTCCTCTGCCTTACCATTCTCTGAGATGAAGCCCCAGGACCATTTTTCTCAGATAGCAGCAGCAGCGCTCCCTTGATGGGACCCTCACCTCAGGGTCAGTGACAACACACAGCTCTGTGCTGTGGTGTACCTGCTGACCCACATCTCCCTTGGACGGCTCTAAGTCCCCTTGGACACAGCCTCTCCATTTACTCTTAAGTCAGCATTTCCCCTTTAGTGGGTGTAAATTGGGTTTGGGAATGTGGGATTCTAGATGTGGCTGAGGAGGGCTTTGGAAGTTAACTGGGAATCTTGATTACGCAGTGCTCCGGCCATTGATGCTCTGAGACATGCACACAGAAGGGCAGACAAGACGGAGTAGGTGAGGGGTAAGGGGAGACCTAACCAGCAAGTCCAACTCCAGGGGCAAAGAAAGGAGGAAGGACACTGAAAGAAATGGGCTGGAAGGGAAGCGGGGGTGCATGCCCGGGCTTCGGGGGGATGGCATGGATGGTGATCACTGACACAGTGAGGAGGTCACTTGGTATTAGAAGGAAGGACCTTCACAGAACATCACACACTAGGTGCAGACCACAGCATGAGAGACTCCCTAGTCACCCCAAGAGCCCCAAGGTTGCCCCCGAAGGACAGGTGTTCAGCTAACTAGTCTTCTATTTCCAGAGAAGCTCTATTGCTGGCCTGGTTACCAATTGACACATTTTCAAGAATCTGGGATTTGTGGGTAGAGAGTTTCAAACCATAGATATTAAGAAATGAGACAGAAGATAGCATTATGCGTTTACAGCAAAATCTCATGATTGAAGAGTCATATAACCATATAACAGTGTTTATTCCACACCCCCACCCCACTCCAGGGAAGCTGCGGGGAGCCGGGGGAACATTCCTCACCATAGCTGCCCATTCTGTAGGATCCCAGGATTTAGGAAACAAGCACCAGCCCTGACCTCCCATAGCCTTTTGTTCTAGAAAGAACAAGAATAGTGCCATAACTTTAAATCCAGATTAACAGTGGAAATGGAGTTTAATGCCTGTATTCTTTCTTTTTTTTATCAGACACACACACATATACACACAAGCAAATAAAATGCTCACTTTATGAAAGATTGTGGGTTTAAAACAATATTTAATTGCCTTTAGTTTTGTCTGAGAATAAATCATGCATGCTGGGTGCATCCTCTTTATTCAAAATAATCCTGAGTGAGATGCCTTTTGTCCACAGTCAAATCTTCCTGACGACATCTTTGAAAACGGCAAGGCAACCGAAGAGAAAATGCCACTGTCTCTCAGCTTCAGCGACCTCCCCAATGGGGACTGCACCCTCCCCTCCGGGCCGGCAGGCTCTCCCGCCAGCTCCTGTCTGCCAAACCCTGAAATCACCATCACCCCTGCAGAGCTCCCCCCCAGCGAGGTCCCAGATGACAACAGCTCAGCTTCTCCCAGGAACTCTGTGGGAGAAGGCTCTGAGCCCAAGCCTTTGCTGGGGGGAGATGCAGAGGTGCCCCAGCCACCTGAGGCTGGTGGGCAGGTGGTAGGAGCGGGAGCGGCGCCCGAGCACCTGTTCCTGGAGGACGCGGTGGCCCAGGCATTGCTGCGAGAGTCGGAGGAAGCCTCGGAGCTCAAGCCTGTGGAACTGGATGCATTTGAAGGGAACATCACCAAGCAGCTGGTCAGGAGGCTCACCTCGGCAGAAGTGCCCCTGGCCGCCGAGAGGCCATCTTTGGAAGGCTCTGTTGGTGGAGACTCGGAAGGTCTGAGGTCCTTTCTAGATGGCAGCCTGGAGGACGCCTTCAATGGGCTTTTCCTGGCATTAGAACCGCACAAAGAGCAGTATAAAGAGTTTCAGGATCTGAACCAAGAAGTCATGCATTTGGATGATATTCTCAAAGTAAGTACGTCTTCAGAGAGATTGGGTCAGATCCAAGACCAGCATGTTCAGAACAAAACATCTTTCTAGAAAAATCCCTCCCAAACACAAAATCGAAAAGAGTCATTTAAGTGGTACTGATCCTTAACGCCAATGAGACATATTCATTAATGCTTTCCTGATCTTAGAGGATCATGTTAAGTTGACCAGGAGTTAAAAACTCTAAAGAATGTCTAAACTCCTACAGGCTCAGATGTCATCATTTGAAGCCCAGATGTGAAATGCTGGCACTTTGATTGTGACAGTCTCTCAGAAGTTGCTGGGCAGGGTTGCTCCCAGGGTGTCAGAACTCCCCAACGGGTAACCAAGTCAGCCCACCCCGGTGGGCAGCATCCTTGTCCCCTTGGCACAGCCTATCAGGGGGTTCCTTTCTCTTGGATTTGGCCCAAATCAGCAAGTTGGAATTTCAGATTAATTGCCAGTGAACAACCATCCTTCATCTGCCAGAGGCCACCACACCCCCAGACTCCACCAGAGCCGGCTTTCCTAGAAGTGGGAGGAAGAGGAGGTGTGGCGAGGGGGCAGGTGGCCCAACCATGAAATCATTTTATCTACCTCAGATTGTATCTGTCTCCAACCAGCATACAGATTAAATTTTGTTAAAACACCACAAGAAGATAGCTTTTTTTTTTTGTCTCAAATCTCACTGACACCTCTTAGATTCTTTGATTTGCCACTCTGACTTGTACAGTCATATAGAAGACAGCCTGGGTCCTTTTTTGCTTGGAAAAGCAGTTCCCACACTGTAAAGCAAGCCAGGTCAAGAGGCAGCTGCAGGAGGCTGCTGCACCCCTTCATATCCCTGCTTACAATGCGATGCAGCTTCCCAAGAGTGTCTGGAACTGCATCTCCAAGGCTCTTCTGCATCCCTCCTACACAGGTCGACCCAGCCTAGGGCAGGTGACAATTCAGGCCCTGACTTCTTCAGAACAGATTGGTTCCACTGTAGACTTGCTCTTTGGGATGTAGCCAGGCCTTCTATCTGCTCTCTAGAAAACCAGCTCAAAAGCTTCCATTTCAGGGCTGTTGCCCGTAAGGTCGCCTGTGTGGTGTCACCTGTTTGGTGTTGCCTAGAACATCTTTTCTGTAGAAGTGAATTGATCCCACCTGATGGAAATACCTTAGAGCCAGCAGTGATGGCAGCTGCCACTTCCAGTCCTCCAGCATACCAATCAACAAGCTCAGTCCACCAGGCCTCACACAGATTCTGTCAGCCTTAGAAAATCCATTCATTTCAGATTTCCCTCTCCAGTATTAGTTCAACCTTCCATTCTACAATTGTCCTGCTGCTGAAATCTTTGGCCCTTTTTTTGTTTGTTATAAAGTTATGCAGAATGGCATCAATATGGGTTAAATATGGGTTGGCCTGTACCAGCTGCCTCTCCCTCTGAGCTTGAGCACATTGTTAGAGCTCAGGTCTGGGGCAATGGCTTTGCCCTCAGCCAGAATCATCAACTGCACAAAGCTTTCCCTTTATCCCTTCGACACATTCCCAGGATGATAAATATCTTGAGAACCAGAAACTCCATGCTGCTGCGTGTTGGCTGGAGATTACTGAGGATGGACGAAGCACCTGTCCTGTGAGCGCTGGTGCCACCTTGAGTGTCAAAAGCAGATCCCCACATAGATCAGGGCACGTAACTGCAGAGGACTTCTGTGCTTCTGCTTTGCAGAGTGCATCCCCTTCAACCCACCCAGTGCCCTTGCATATTCAGATAGAGCTCTATCCCTTTCATGCCCATAGCAACTGGTATTATTCTGTGATTCTGCCCATGTCCAGCAAGATAGGATTTCCAGGCCACATAATGGTCTTGTTGCCATCATTCCAGCGCCTGGTCAGGGAAATGGTGAGATTTGTTCAAGTCAGAGCTTCTGGAAAAAGGACTGCTTCCTATCACACCCTGCCCCCACCATCCTCCACACCTGTGAGCATGCCATTTGTGTTCTCCTCAGGAAAAATGACAGGCTGTGAATACAACATTAAGATGTAGGACTTTCCCCTCATGGAGTATGGGCTTGGTGAAGGTGGCTAGTGTTATTTCTTTTTCACCCTGAAGAACAGATTCCTTAGAGAACTTGCCTCGTCTTAGGGCATTGAGGACCTTGACACTTGGAACAAGTGACCCAAGAACTCTTCCAATTTGCTTATTCGTTGTTTTTGTGTTTGGGGATGAACATTAGGCAACAGGAATCTACCAGTTCTGTTTCCCAAGGCTTTCTGGTTGTCGTATGTTTAAAACCCAAATAGACGTACAGCATCCCCAATCATCAACTTGGAACCAATCTTGTTGCTTGTATTCTACCAGCTTTCTTCCCTCTTGATTCTAAATATTGTGCCATCCTTGCCTATGTTTATACTCTTTTAGCATAAATATTTTAAATGCATTTTAAAATTTTTTAATGAAAAATAAAGATTGGAGAAAAAATAAAAACAAAGAATCGCATGTCCCTCTGACTGCCCCAAGTCCTGTGTGTGCCGGGTATGATGATGCTCTCCCTGGTGCCTTGTGCCTCTGCAGTGCAAGCCCGCAGGAAGCCACAGCAGGTCTTCCAGTTTCAGCCTCACAGTGGAAAGTGCTTTGGAGAGCTTTGATTTCCTGAACACCTCTGATTTTGATGAGGAGGATGGTGATGAAGTGTGTAACGTTGGAGGAGGTGCAGACTCAGTGTTTTCTGATACTGAGACTGAGAAAAACGGGTAAGTGTGCAGTTAGTGTCTGCTTTCATCTCTCCCGCCACCACTGGCTTATTCCTGTTGTGGACAGAGCGGACCAGGTGCACATCTCCAGAAAGAGAAACAGCCCTGCCTGAGTGACCAGTTGGCTCACTTTTTACTATCAAGTACCACTTTAAAAAACTTCCTTCTTTTGGATTGCTAAAGGGAAAACACCTTCCTTTAGAAACACAGAGACATGAATATACATGCATATGTCTTGAAGGGACCAGTGTCTAAAACTTGGCCCTATCTAATTCATTCTAAATGAACTACATCTATTACATTTATGGAGAACTCTTGCTGGACCATAGATCTGGACCTGGTTCTGCCTGGCTTGTGTCTTCCTTAGTTTTGCCAGGCTTAGCTTTCCCTACCCCACTGTCTGTCTCATGTCTGTGGTGAGTCTTTGCATGTATACATGTCAGAGCCAGGTGTAAGCCCCACAGCATGTGTTTCCCTTACAGTAAAAACAGGGTGATCAGTGACTGTTCTTTGTCATCAGATCAACAGCTTTTAGATGAAAAATTCTCTGGAGAATCCTCTGAAGGACTAGGGGGAAAAGGTGGAAGGGAAATATTGCTAACATCTGCATTAGGCTTCATGCATAGCCAAGGAATGTTTGTAGAGCTGGAATCTGGTTTTTTAACTTCCAATGATGCAAAACAAGTGCAATGGGCCATACTGGCTACATCAATCACTGCGAAGGAATAGACTGACACTTTCCCAAAGCACGGGGTGGGTTTCCCTCCCATCCACACTTTTGGCACACCGTGACATAAACAGACTCTTGGGTTATCTGGAAGGTTTCTTTTTCCAAAACATAACCAGGAGGAACATACAAGAATTCAAATTTGTCCCCTGAACAAACATGATAAAGATTTTAACTGTCACATTTAAGGTTTGCTTCTACATTCCATGGGGATTTTTCTAGCTGGATCAGATTTGTGAGTCTTCTTAGTCTGGGTTTTCTGGATACTTGTTTGTTAGCTTATACTGTTCCATAATATATCAAAGTCAGATTTCAATCTAATTTTTTTTCTTCCTAAGAAGCATTTAAGCTACCTTGGCTTTTGTATATTTACAGAACATTTATAAGAAGTCTAACTCAGTCACTCTTACTATGTGAGAGCACTTCAAACAGTTCATGGAACACTGGAGCTGAAAAAAGATGGGTTTATTTGGGTGCAAAACATTTGAAACCTTTGCATATGACAGTTCTTCAAAAAGTTCATGGAGCATGAGTGTTACCAGAAAACTATTCAAGGATTATTTTTCACTCAGATTTTTAAGGCTTATTTTTTTTATTGGAAAGACAGATTTACAGATAGAGAGATATAGAGAGAAAGATCTTCTATCTGCTAGTTCACTCTACAAATGGCCACAATGGCCAGAGCTGAGCCTATCCAAAGCCAGGAGCCAGGCACTTCTTCCATGTCTCCCACGCAGGTGCAGGTCCCACTTTGGTGCCAAGTCCCAAAGGGCTTGGGCCATCCCCTACTGCTTTTCCAGGCCGTAAGTGGGGAACTAGCATTTGCAGGGGAGGATTAGCCAATTGAGCTATCATTCCATGCTTCATTCTGCTTTTCCATGAATCTTTCGAAATACCGTTGTATGTCACCAAGAGTATTAGGAAACGTGTGTGTGTGTGTGTGTGTGTGTGTGTGTGAGAGAGAGAGAGAGAGAGAGAGAGACAGAGAGAGAGAGAGAGAGAGAGTCTCCTGCTGTGTGCTGACCTCTAAGACACATTTACCCCTTGAGGCTAATGTGACTCACATTAGTGGGGCCTCCAAAGCCCTGAGTTTCAGTGTGTGAAGTTAAAATGTAAATGTGGGCCCTGGGGAGCATGAGGTCAGAGAGCAAGGCTACCAGGATACCCTGCTGGCATTAGCACCCCCGCTGGTCAGTCCTTCAGTGAGTCAAGGAAGACAATAGTTCCTCCCGCCTAGCTACAGCTTTGTGTTACAAATCAAGTTAGATGAAACATGCAATGAATCCTATATATACCCCAAGTGCCTGTCCTGCTGTGACTTTGGAGAACCTTGGGGTTTAAACAAAGCCTGAGCAACGCTTTCAGTAGTCAGCACTCCATCAGCTTCTGTTCAGAGTAGAACATCTTGGCAGCTTCCCTTTTCCTTTTTTTCAAGTTGTACTTGATTTGAGGCCGGAAAACAGCCTTGACGGGTGGTGTTGCCGATGGCATTGCTCTTGACGAGCCACAGATATAGAGGACAGTCGAATCCAAGAAAATTTGGCAAATCCCCCTATCCAGGGATCAGGAAAGTGCAACAGGTACAAAATGAAGGCACCTCAACAACTCCTTCAAAAATGGCTTATCACACCTAAGAAACCAAGGGAAAACTCAGAACATAATTTGTTAGCATGGCAGTGTGGCCTTTGAACACCGCGCATACTAGTAAGCAGGTTGAATTCATGTCTTCTTAAAGGTTCTTTCAATGTAGGTAAGTGAGAGCAGTATTCAGTTGGTGCTGTTGGGGGCTGGACACGAATCATCTTGCGTTGACCCATGGTTTGTACACAGGAAGAACTAACAAATGATGTCTCAGTCACCTTCCTGCCTTACCAGTTACAGGTCGGTTCATCCAGAAGCCCGTGGACATCTTAGCGAGGCCCTGACAGAAGACACCGGAGTTGGGACGAGTGTGGCAGGAAGCCCTCTGCCGCTGACCACTGGAAATGAAAGCCTGGACATCACCATCGTTAGGCACCTGCAGTACTGCACCCAGCTTGTTCAGGTGGGCCCTAGTTGAGGCTTGTGTGTTTCAGAGCCCAGGTTGATTACTGCCAGGGAAGAGGGTTTTTATTTGTTGGTTTTACTAGGGGAATGAGGATCCAGGAGTTAACACAAGAGTCTTGCTGTTTTTATTTCTGTCTTGTTTGTCTGTTTGAAAGACCAATCAAGATCTCTCTCTTCTGATTCACTCCCCATTACCTGGTTGAAACTGGAAGCTGGGACTCCAGGCCTCCCACATGAGTGGAAGGGAGCCCAGTAATGGGGCTATCACTTTCTCCCAGGGTCTGCACTGCAAGTTTACTTTGCGGGTTTCTGGGGAGGAGATGCGACCTGAAGAAATGCGGGGACCGTGCTCTCTTTTGGCAACTAACAAAGTTGATTTCCAGGGTCTCAGTTTTTATACATTTCATGAAACAATAGTTCAGACATAACTCAGAATTAGATCATGTCTAAGAACACAGAGACAACAAAGAAGCTAACAAGGTGACCTAGTCAAAAGGTTATTGTAACAGGGACTAGATAATACTGTCTGTCCTTGATTGACTAAACAGAGCACAGATGTCCACCTACCTTCAAGGAGAGCACAAAAGCACATCCAAGGACTCACCAGGGGCAGGAGCACACTGTGGGTGAGACACCTTTCGCCTTCTCTTTCCTGGAGCCTCTTCTCAACAGGGTCCCACAGGCCTCTGCTGTCCCAGCTTTCCTACGGGCTGTATTCCGACATGACACTGGAGCCAAAGCGGGGTCTCAAACCCAGTCACTCCACTATAGGATGTCAGGCATCTTAACTGGTTCCTTAACCACAAAACCAAATGCCACCCTAAGAACAATCCTGCTTTGGTTGAAGCAAAGTGAAAAACCCAAGTGAACATGACCATTCTCTCGCAACTCTGTGTTGTCCATTTCAATACCTTGTTCTCTGGTGGCTCACATTGCGGTACAGCAGGTAAAGGTGTCACTTACGATGCCAGCATCCTAGAAGGCCCCAGTTCATGTCCTGGCCACTCTACTTCTGATGCAACTCTGTGCTGATGGCCTGAGAAAAGCAGCAGAAGATATTCCAAGTGTTTTGGCTCGTGCCACCATGTGGGAGATTCAGATGAAACTCCTAGCTTTGACCTGTCCCAGCCCTAGCTATTGTGGCAAATGGCAGATTTCAAGAATTCTTTCTCTCTCTCTCTCATTGGATAGCAGATGAGAGTAACATTATTGAGCAAGAAAAGCAGGATACTTGTCTCCTCGCAGCTACAAATGGAGTTTAAAAGCCAGTATTGTTGAACACATATTAATATGAAGGTCACATGCATTTGTTCTTCACTGCCAAGGAGAGCTGAAAGCAAAGTGTTACAGAATGCAGCCATGAGTCCCCAGATGTTTTGTTTTGTTTTGTTTTGTTTTAAAGCAAGATTTATTAGAAAAGCTGAGAAAAGAGACTCCCGTCCTAGTTGACAGGAGGGGGCTTTGAGATAGAAGGGACCCTTACCCCCTGCCATAGTGGCAGGAGGAAAAGTGGATAAAACCCTAGTCCTCTACCATAGTGGCCGGAGGAAAAGTGGAAAAAAGACCCCTGTTAATGGTGGGGAAAGCACCGTTTACTTCAAAGATATTTCTCCATAAACATGGAGAATTCCTGGTTTCCATGGTACCTGGCCTTGGGAGAAAAGGCCCAAAAAGGTGTCACCAACCAAATTCCTTGGTCCCTTTCTAATGATAAAGAGACTAGTCTGATGCTCTCCCCCTTGGCAATGGCCGGAGACAGGCTGGCACTTCAGGTAGGGAATTAGTATGTTAATGTCACCCTTGTCTCTTGGGGAAGCGTGTTCCTGATATGTTTAAACATGCACTTGTCTCAGGAGAGACGTGCTCTGGTGAATCCAAGACATGGTAGGGAAAATACCCCTTTATTTGAGTAAAAAATGATGACTTGGAGACCCAGAATACCCTAATTGCTTATTACCCAAACTCCTCTCTCATTCCGCCCCCTAGAAGAAGGGACCCTAACTGCTGTTAGGGGGAAATGAGACGGTGGCCACTCTTGGCTGTTTCCTGCTGATAGGGGGCATAGTACAAAGGCAGCAGTTGGGTATTCCTCTGGGGGCCGGTCTAAGGGTCCCTGGTAGAACACAGAAGTCTTCTGAGGTGCCTGGCAGAAGTCATCAGAGGTGCCTGGCAGGTTGTTTGGGCTCCAAGTGTTCCTTCTTGTTGAAATCTAGATGACAAAACAAAGAAAACCATAAGCTCTCCCAACCTAGTGTGTAATGGGATCATTTGGAAACACCAATATGAATACTTGAGTTTTAGAACTCAAATATGAGAAGCATTTTGTTAGAGTAAACATTGGACTTGAGCAGTTTAGTTTAAGCGTATGAACTAGATTTATTCATTCAAATTAACTCTTTTAAAGCTCAAATTTTGAAACAATTTCGAAACTCAATGAACATAATGAAACCTATGAGACCTTTTGAGCTATATGAAATTGTTATCTAGGTCCATTAGAAGGCACAGAAACAATGAAAGAATTAGCATGTGGCATTAGGACATGAACCCATACAGGGCATGTAAACGTTAAGTTTCCATGGAGTTACAATTTAATTTAGCACTGACATTCTGAATTAAGTTTTAAACTTATTTGAATTTCAAAAATGCTATAGTTGTTTTGTATACAAGTGGTGGATTTTTAAAATAACAGTTGTACTTTACCAGTTACTGGAAACCCTAAGAGTCTCAGGAAACTATGTCACCTAGAATACAAAGCACAACACTGAAAACATTTCATTACAAGTCTTCTCTGGATTGTAGCATAGGTGGTAAAAGATTAAACTAGTTGTGAGTTACAATAACCCAGCAGTTTATGGTATTCTAGTAAGAATTCACAAAACTTCACACGTTAGGGCAAAGGCAAGCAATGAACTAGTCCTATAGTTATAACAAGCCAAGAATTGACAATTGGAGAACAGAAAGAGCCTTAAATAGATGGACAGAGAAATCCCCAATAATTTAGTAAATGAGGAAGACATGAACCCTGCCTCAGAGTACTGAGGGTGTCCTACCCAGTGGACATGGTTCCCCAGATCTTAACTAAGAACTTTGTATGAGCACTGGGAAGGAGTGCCTCTCGTGCCATCACATTGGCAGTTAGTGTGCTCTTTCTGCCCACCCTTGGCTGTCTTCTCAAGCTGTAGGCAGATTAGGGTTTTTACAACAATTGGGAAGATGTTTCTAAATTCTCTTGTTGCAAAAATTTCAGTTGGCTTGAACAAAGGTTCTGCCCACACTGTACTTTTCCCTGGAAGTTTTCCTTGCCTGGTGCTTTGACCTCTCCCAGCCACATTCTCCCAGCATGTAGCAGAGAAAAAGTGTAGAGGCATATGTAATTGTGGTTTTGGGGGGCTGTCCCTTCAGGAAAGATGCACAGAGAGAACAACTGTGTTTCTGGGAACAGAGATCAGCTGGAAGACGGGAGGGCTGCCTCTGATGATACGTGGGAGCATGAACTTCCACCACAGCTGAAGACCCTCAAGTCTCAGATAGTTTAGGTGCAGTGGGACCCCACTTGGCAGTAGTAACTCTTCTGGTTGGTTAGTGCCCCAGTTGAGCTCTTCCATTGGCTGTTAGGATTATCACCATACTGCAGACAGCCTGTCTGCATTTTTGTTCGCTTCCAGCTGGTCTATTGAGAGATGGTTATCACAGCTCACTGTGCTGAGCAAAACACCTGTTTACCTTTTAGAGTAAGGAATGGAGTCATTGTTTTTTATGAGATAGAACAGAATTCTCTTCCATATGGGTGAATTGGCCTGCATTAGTGTAGTGTTGCTCCCCATGTGGAGACCGTGGTTGTTGTAACAACTCAGTCCTTCTGTGGGGAGAGGATGCTAGGAAAAACCTATGAGATGAGTAAGAAGATACAGGCTTAAGGAGTGAAGCCTAGAAACTTTAAGTTTTCATTTGTCCTCCTTGAGTAAGTAAGCTTACATATTCATTTGTATAGAATTGCAGAGAAAAATAGTTACCCTGTAAGAATCCTAAAAGCATAATTGTTTAAATAAAAATCCACTTCCATTAGTCCTACTTACATGAAAGGCATTAGTTAAGTAATTTCTGCTCTGCACTTTTGATTTTGCAAATCTTGTTTACTTTATCATCTGAGCGCTTGGCCACTATAGCCTCCTACAGCCACACGAACAGGTGCCCAGGTCTTCAGGTGTCTCTTCTCTGGTCTGCAAGAGCCACAGAGAAAAGCAAACTCCCCAAGGCAGCAAGTAACATTTCTTAAGTGACATTTCATTCCTATCTCAGGCCTACACACACACATACTCACACACAATGAGGCCACTCACTACTTAGTGGTCTTGGGTAGACTGTTTAACCTCTCTGTGCCTCATTTTCTTGCCTGTAAGGTGGATGTATTGGTAGGAGCCACCTCACTGGGATACAGGACAGATAATATGAATAATACCAGTGCAGAGTAAACATTCATCAGCTCAGAAATAGCTCTAATTATAATGAAGATTGCTATGCAATCTGCTTTTATTTTTCAGCTTGAAAAAATACATCCATGTTGTAAAAAAAAATTTTTTAATACCTACACTTTTAAAAGAAATCTTGCCCTCTGAGTTTCAAAGATCAGATTCACTGTACATAATTAGAAAGATAGTTTTATAATAGCCTTGCAGCTCTATGACTGAGAAAATTCCAGAATTTATATAGGCATGGAAAAAAAAAAAGACAGAACCACATCTTGATTCCACAAGAGGTTGTAACTGGCATGGGATGGGGGCATCGCTGAGGTGGAGCAAGAGTCCTCTTCCGAGCTGACTCAGCACCGTGTGCAGGGAGGATGGGGTTGGGCTGAGAAGGCTCTATGGGCAACAACATGATTGCAAGAGTGGTTTTGTTTATTTTATCAGCAAATTGTTTTCTCGAGCAAAATCCCATTTGTGGCAAGAAATCTCTTAGAGAAGCTTTCAAGGCAGATCCAAGTGATGGAGAAGCTGGCAGCTGTCAGTGATGAGAACATAGGAAACATCAGTTCTGTCATCGAAGGTAAGCAGCTGCCCCTTCCACCACTCTGTGTGACCCTACTGCCTGCAACTGCCCAGTGCTTTGTAAGAAAGACAGAAAATAGTTCTTGGACAAGACAATACAGCCCCATACTAGTGGGCCCTCTGAATCAAATCAGCAGATACACGGCTCTTCCTAGAGTCTCCACCACCCAAGACAGGCACCAGTCTGAACAGAAGCAGCCTCCAGGTTCCAGGTAGAGAGTCAGACCTTTTCTGCAGGTGCAATTCCCTTCAGAGATAGATGATCGTGATTGTGCTGCTATGGCAGCTGAAATCAAATGGAAGCTGCTTCCCTGTCCTGCTGAGCAAAGGTAGAAATGAGTAGATGTTGAAGGTGTCTGGGAGCCTGCCAGGTTCTGAGAGCCGTGGAGGCAGAACGGACGTGGGAAAGGTGCCTTTGGCTCTGTGTGATCTGAGCTGTTTGCTAAAAAGACTATAGGTCTTCCTTCCCATCAGATGTCTATTGGAAGTAGGGCCTTCTTCATCACCCTTGACCAAGACTCAAATGCCCATGTGCCCTTTCCTGGTAGGCGCAAGTGACCTTAAAAGGACAAACGTTCTGGCTGTAGTGATTCGTGTCCTCTCCCCTTCCAGCCCCATCATGGTCACCACCATGCACAAGTGAACTGTGGACTATGTGTCACCAGGGGTGGTGTTGTCCCCTCATTTCACTGTGAGGAGCCCTGGGTTGAGGGGGAGAAAGCTCGGCTTCTCACCGCAACTCTCCTGCTGTTTGGCCCAACAGCTGAGCAGAGTGGAACCTGAGCCCCACCTTGGTCCCTCCCCAGATTCTTCCTTCCTCAACTCTGAAACACCTGTCTTCTTCTGCAGCCATTCCGGAATTTCACAAAAAGCTGTCTCTGCTGTCGTTCTGGACCAAATGCTGCGGCCCCACCGGTGTGTACCACAGCTCGGCCGACAGGGTTGTGAAACAGCTGGAGGCCAGCTTCGCCAGGACTGTCAACAGAGAATGCCCGGGACTGGCAGACCCAGGTAGGATGACCGTGCTGAGGCAGCAACTTGAGTTCCTTGGGGTTGCTTTCCACCCACCTACAGTTCAGGGAGTGGGCAGGGCCCAAAGGGCCCAATTAGACAGTTAACTCAATATGGATGGTGAGAGAGCTATGGGCTGTGAAGGAGCATAGAAGGTTCTTACCCTAACAGGCTTGTCTCTCTTGACCTGAATGGCAGTGACCTAGCTTTGTGTGCAGAAGTCACCTGGCCATGCATGAGGGCTTAGTCTTATGCACTTCTCTCTGCGTCATATGCACACTGGTAAATGACTACCTCAAGTATTGAAGGACAGAATAAGTGAATGGATGGCATGTTGAGTTGGTGTATGTATTTCCCTTCCCATAGTGTTCCGAACCCTGGTGTCGCAGATCCTGGACAGGGCTGAGCCTCTGGTCTCGTCCAGCCTGTCCTCAGAAGTGGTCACCGTCTTCCAGTTTCACAGCTACTTCTCCAGCCATGGAGTGAGTGACCTTGAGAGTTACCTCAGCCAGCTGGCCAGGCAAGGTGGGACATGTTTTGCACAGGCGGGGGCTTAACCTACTAAGACCCTAAGAGAGTTTTAAAAAATAATAATAAATTCTAAGGTTTTTGCCTTTCATTATAAAAGAGAAAGTCTCTCAATCCAGAAAATGTAGAAAGCAAAGATGAATAAAAGGAAAAAAAATTGAAATCCCTCCTTTTCAACTTTTAAATTTATTTTTCAGTTGACCATATATGGGATTTAGATTATAAAATTGTGACTCTTCCTGAGAGAACTACACTTCCTATTTGACATTCTCTTTGAAAGCATTTTCATTGATTTTACAATATTCCTGCTTTTGAATATAAAATAATGAATTTGCATTTTTGGTTCATTTCAGAGGTCTTATTAATGAAACTTTTAGCATGCAATGCTATCTTGAGGAATGTTACTAGGGCATTTATTTACAAATGAATAAAGAAGTAGAATTAACAAAGTAATGAAATCAAAAGCACATCTACAAGAAAAACAATAGTAAACATAAAGATAAATGAGGTCATTTAAAAATGTATGCACTTGCAGAGGACGTCATTTTATTGACAGAACATGACATTTAGCTTCTCAGGGCCCATCTGCAAACACACACTGTCACCTCCTTGTTATGCTGAAGCAGGTCTGTGCTGGACATCTCATGAGAGAGTAGGGTGGCAGAGGACATATTCAGTTTGTCTGAATGGGGCTTAAAAATCGCAGCTTTAAGATCAAATGGTCTTTATGCACCAATTAGGTGGGTTTCTTCCTCAGTGTCCGGTTACTTTAGGATAGACCTGGATGACCCAGGATTAGGGTTTTTCCAGATGGGCATGTCTGAACAAGGGGCAGCCAAGTTGGATACATATATACAGATGTAAGATTATAAACACATTTTGCTTTTGTTATCTTCACCGCTTATTTTCACATTTGGCTCATTTTTATACCTTTGTCATTTTTATAACCCTTAGGAGGTGGTGATCCAGCCTTACTTTTTTTTCTAAGCGATCTGCCTCTTAGTGCAATTGCTTGAATAACTGGGTCATTTCTTCCTAATTTGAATGCTGGTGTGCCTGATGAGCAGACACACTTTGTCATGTACCCTTTTCCAAGGACATGTGAGTCTGTTACCCTGCTTTCCCAGGCACTGGGTCTCACCTGCTATTGTGTGTCATCTGTGTCCTCCCAATGTCCCACAGTCTCCGTCGTCCAGGCTCTGCAGTCCCTCAGAGGCGAGAAGCTTCTGCAGACGGTGACGGACCCAGCTCCAGGCCACCTCCCTGCCCCGCAGGAAGTCCTAGGGACCCTGGCCCTGCTGCTAACTGGAGGCGACAGTGAAGTGAGCGAGGCTGTGACGCTTTACTTGGCAGCAGCTTCCAAAAATGAGAATTTCAGGGAAAAGGTAAGAAACTCCATCAGAAACCTACTTGATTTTATATTTTTGGCTGTTAATATTTTAGCTTCCATTCTCAGATAAAAATCGTTTTATTTTACTTATTATTAATGTATGCTCTGTAAAAAAAAGATTTTTTTAAAGAAACCCAGTATACTATCAAAATACCCAGGAAGACAATCAAGATGGTGGAATATGGAAAGGTCACATTTAAGGAGATGGAGAAACATTAGCCAGTGTGAAGCAAGTGGACCATTACAGGAATCAGGAGAGGACAGAATGACAGCAGAGGGGCACCTGGAGATTAATAGACATGGGAAAGCAGTGGACACAACAGTGTGGTGTTGCTGTGACTGATAACCCAGCAGCATTCTGAACTGCACCAGTGGCCAGAACTCCATGAGCAACAAGGTGGGAAGGGTTGTTCACTGGGAGCTCAGGAGGTGAACCCAGACAAACAGCTGCCCGTCCTGCTGGTCTGTTTGATATGACCACGAGCAGAGAGAGAGCAACAGATCCCAGATGGGCAGTGCAGGAACAGGGTGGATTTCACAGCCCAATCCACCCACTACAGCTGAATAGGATGCCATGTTGTATAAGGAGGCAAAGGCTATGGGACAGGACTGCACATGCACTGAGCTGGGAGTGAACTCATTCTGGCTCAGTGAATTGCAACAATGCAGCATCCTACAGGTTCCACCCAAGGTAGGTTTGAGTCGCCCTCAGACCTGACAGACAGCAGATCAAGAACACTAGTAGTGGCACATCAGGTGCCACTTTGTATGGTGTGGCAAAGAATTTAAGACTGTAAGATGGCAGTGAGCTACGCATGCACTGGTCCCACAGGGAAATAATAGCAACTGTGGCATCATACTGGTCAAAATAGGTCTGTGTGATCTTCAGACCTAAAGGCCAACAGGATCCAGGAAAATTACCGCCAACAACCACCTAGCTATGTAGGAAATCTGGTGTCTCCCTAATCCTGAGAACTGCTTGAACTGGAAGTGGAAGAAAGGTTGTACAGAGAACGGTGCAGCCTCAGCACTGGATCACAGGAGGTGGAGACTGGTGAGCCAGGAGCTGGGACTATGGAGACCATGGTGGAAATCTAACATAAGAACGCAGACCTGAAACTTGCTGGAGGGGGTGGCACAAGTGATTGCCAACAAAGAGCCATATTTGTTTTTTAGGATTTTTCTTTTTTCCATTGGAAAGGCAGATTTACAAAAAGAAGAGACAGAAAAATCTATCTTTTGGCACTCTGCAAATGGCTGCAATGGCTAGATGAGCCTATCTGTGCCAGGAGTTTCTTCCAGGTCTCCCCACCCAGGGCCTCAAGAACTTGGGCCATCCTCCACCACTTTCACAGGCCAAAAGCAGGGAGCTAGATGGGAAATGGGGCAGCCAGGACCTGAATTGGTACCCATATGGGATGCCACACTTGGAGATGGAGGATTAGCTAGCTGAGCCATTATAACAGATTTTCTAAATGTGGTTATTTTTTGCCCACACTGAGGATATTAGTCTATTTCATTATATTTATGAATTAAGGCACATCGGCAGGTGGACTCCTCATTCCCTCTTGGTGGGTATTTGCGTAGTTTCCAACTGAGTAATACTAAGTGTGTGTGTGTATGTGTGTGCACATGCACACATAAAGACATGTTTAGGAGTACTGTGAGATCAGTTCATCAAATTGCAAGGTGCAAGTGCTGCAGCATGTTTTATTGTAAAAGCCTTCATCCCTTTTGCCAGGAAAGAAATGCTTTCCCTCTCCCTCGGTTCATACACAGGCCAGCAGGGGGATCATCTAGAGCTCTTTACAATTGGAACCTGGTAAAAAGCCAACCTGTCAGATTCAAAACAGTACCTCCTTGCCCTTGCAAAGCTTATAGTGGTTTAACTTTTCTAAGATGTAATTGAAGCAGGCTTATGATGAGGTGTTTGTATGCTCAATGAAAGGAGATTCTATTCTCATGTCATTTTGACCCAAGAGGGTAAACTTGCTCTTGATCTTTCCTACAAAGCCCTGGATTGTCAGTGGAATTGGCTCAAAAGAGAAGAGGGATGGGAAATGAATTCCAAGCAGTGCTGGTAGCAGCAGATGCACCAGAGTGTGCAGTGTTATTTTTCTTTAATTTTTTTTTAGCGCCTGGCACGGTGGCCTGGCAGCAAAAGTCCTCACCTGAACACACCCAGGATCCCATATGGGTGCCGGTTCTAATCCCAGCAGCCCCTGAGCTTCCCATCCAGCTCCCTGCTTGTGGCCTGGGAAAGCAGTCGAGGACGGCCCAAAGCCTTAGGACCCTGAACCCATGTGGGAGACCCGGAAAGAAGTTCCTGACTCCTGGCTCATTCCAGATTGGCACAGCACCGGCCGTTGCGCTCACTTGGGGAGTGAATCATTGGACGGAAGATCTTGCTCTCTGTCTCTCCTCTCTGTGTATCTGGGTTTGTAATAAAAAAATAAATATATCTTTAAAAAAAGTTTTAGACTCAGAAAAGCACAGCAGGGAGAAACAGAGAGTACTCTTGTCTGTGGGTTCACTCCCTAAATGCCCCCCAAGGGCCAGGCCTGGGCCATACCAGAAACAGGAGCTAGGAATTCATCCTGGGTCTCCTCTGTGGGTGGACATCACCTGCTGCCTCCAAGATTCTGCACTGGTAGGAAGTTGAAGTCAGAAATTGCAGCTGAGTATCAAACCCTGGTACTCTCTTTCTACCTGATGGCTTAGCACCTTGTAACTTTTTTTATGGTACCTACTGCATAATTCTTCTCTGCAGTTCCTTCTAAACAGTCTTAGAATGTCGGCCTCAGTGCCTCTTGAAAGATGAGCTCATTGGGTCAGTATCGTGGCATAGTGGGCAAAGCTGCCATCTATGGTGCTGACTTCCCGTATGGGTGCCAGTTCGTGCCCCAGCTGCTCCACTTCCGATCCAGCTCCCAGCTCACAGCCAGAGAAAGCAGTGAAAGATATCCCAAGTGTTTGGTTTCCTGCTACCATGTGGAAGGCCTAGATGAATGGCTTTGGCCTGGCCATTGGCAGCAATCTGGGAAATGAACCAGTAAATGGAAAATCGCTCTGTCTCTCCCTCTATGTAACTCCAACTTTTAAAATAAATAAATCTTAAAAAAAAAAAGATGGGCTTGATAATTAGGAGGAGTATGGGTAGAAAAGTTAAATAATACAGGCCAAAATGCAAAGAATAAATTCTAGAGCCCTCGAAAACAGTAGGATAACTATAATCTATAACAATTTATGATATATTTCAAAATATTTAGGAAAGAAGAGAGTAAATACTATTACCTAAAAATTAGAAGTGTTTGGTCTGGCGCAGTAGCCTAGTGGCTAATGTCCTCACCTTGCATACACCAGGATCCCATATGGGCACCAGCGCTGATCCCAGCCACTGAGCTTCCCATCCAGCTCCCTGCTTGTGGCCTGGAAAAGCAGTCGAGGATAACCCAAAGCCTTGGACTCTGCACCCTCATGGGAGACCCAGAGGAGCTCCTGACTCCTTGCTTTGGAGTGACTCAACTCTGGCTGTTGTGGCCACCTAGGACTGATTCAGTAGACAGAAGATCTTCCTCTCTGCCTCTCCTCCTCTCTGTACATCTGCCTTTCCAATAAAATAAATTAAATAAATCCTTTAGAAAAAGAAATTATAAATGTTTGAGGAGGAATAAATGCTCATTACCCTGATTTGATCATAACAGATTGCATGTATGGATCAAATAATTGTATTTGACCCCATAGACAAGCACAGATTTCATATGTCAACAACAAAATTAAAAATAACATTGTTAAACGCATATAGTGACTCTTGAGTATTTGGAAACTGACGAAAGGGGGAGAATCAACCCTTAAAAAAGAATAAAAGCAGGAAACACAACTTTATACCCTCCCACTTCATATTCCCCAGACTCTATGATCTGGTAGACTGTGGGATCCGTCTGGGGCCAGCTTGCGGTGTATTCACTGCTGTGGTGCCAGTATCCCATGTTTGCCAGTTCAGCATCCAGCTGCTCCACTTCCAACCCAGCCCAATGTTAGTGTGCCTGGGAAAGCAGTGGAGGAATCCCTGGGCCCCTGAACACAAGTGGGAGAACCAGAGGAAGCTCCAGGCTCTTGGCTTCAGCCTGGCCCAGCCCCAGCTGTTGCAACCATTTGGGGAATGAACTAGGAGCTGGAAGAGCTCTCTCTCATTCTCTCTTTGTCTTTGAAATAAATACTTTTTTTAAAAAAATGGTCAATTTATTGGACACACAACTCTTTTAATCACCATGAATTTCAGTGGATCTTTTTTGTTTTGAAAGCAGCACAAAACGTCTGGCCTCATTCTGACTTTCGGGCGGGAGATGGACAGAGAGTACAAGCATCTCATGGGCTGCTCCCTTCTCTTTCAGGCCCTGCTCTATTACTGTGAGGCACTGACGAAGACTAACCTGCAGCTGCAGAAGGCGGCCTGCCTTGCCCTGAAAAGCCTCCAGGTAAAGCCCAGATACAGCCAGGCCCCACCAAGGATCTACAGTCTCTGCCCCTCTACATTTGACAGTGCTTTTTAGCAATATTTCTCGGAGCGTTGGCCCTATAGTTGAGTTCTTGGTCAGTGTTTGCCTTCTAACTACCTATGACTTTGCTTGGTGCAAGTTAATAAGTGCCAGAAAACAATAATGTCTTGCCATATTCAATTGCCTTTACTTCCCTATGAGGAATGGATAGCTTGTCCCAAAAGAGAGATGATAGGTTGGCTCCACCCATGCACATTGTGTATACCAAATATCAGGGACAAATACAATGTGCATGGCAGCACATTGAATGCTGCTGATTTGCCTTGGACTTAACCCCTCAAACCTTTTTCATTAACCAACCAACTAATCTTAATTGTGCCAGAGGGAGATTAGCGAGCAGGGAGCCAGCTGAAATGTAAAGAAAACCACAAAAGACTGTGAATTCCCAGTGTGCAAGACTTTTCTATTCAATAGACTAGATTTAATACTTGGCCTGCCTTCAGCATAAAAAAATAAATAAATAAAAGGGTAATGAGCCTGGCGAACAGAATGAGAACAAGCAAACATGCTGGCTGTGCAGTGGAACGAAGGGCAGGAGCACTTGAAGAAAGTGTCATGCCCCCAAAGAGAAGTCAGTGACCCGTGAAGAAAAGCAGCTCTGAGAAAGGTTGCGTTCCTTGTCACTGGGTCCAAACATTGCCTTCGGGGTCCAAGAGAGCCCACGGAAGTTACTGTGTGAGGACTGTTGTGCCTTTTCAGGACATGGCAGAGTGGTGTGTCCCTGAGAGACGGAAGGAAACCAAAGACACAGGGATAGTGGCCTGTACAGCTTGCAATGTGCTGAGGTGTCACTGAGAAGATGAGAGCAGAGGTTCTGGGCTGTCCCAACTCCAGGCACTCTAGATGTCTCTCCTCCTGCTTTTATGCTGCAGTGTACAGTATTTGTGGTGACTAAGAGACCCTTTTCTTTTTTGAATTTTTATTAGAAAGTCAGATTTTACAGAGAGAAAGATCTTCCATCTGCTGGTTCACATCCCAAGTAGCCACAACAACCACTGGAACTGAGCTGATCCGAAGCCAGGAGCCAGGGTTCTCCCACGTGGGTGCAGGGTCCCAAGACTTTGGACCATCCTCCTCTGCTTTCCCAGGCCACAGGCAGGGAGCTGGATGGGAAATGGAGCAGCCGGGATGTGAACCGGCATCCATATGGGATCCTGGCATATGCAAGGCTAGGACTTTAGCCACTAGGCTACCATGCCAAGCCCCAAGAGACCCCTTCCTAAACCATCCCTGGCCACAGCCACTGAAGGGGTCTACATGTAGCATGGTGTGAAAAACAGAGCCAACTCAGGATTCCACCCACCCAGATCTATCTGTCAGGGAGGGTACAGCAAAATCTCCCATTTTGCTTTCCTGTGAAGCATAACTGTTGCAGAATCCTGGCTTTTTCCCAAGAAGGAAAAACACCATCTTATTGCCTCTCGACCACTCAAGCATCCTGGCAAGCACGTTTTTGTCTTGCAGCAAGCAGCAAGCTGCCTTTCCCCACCTGCCTCGATGGTTATCAACAAAGGCTCTGTGCTAGCCCTTCTGCCTCCCAGACTCTCCAGGAAACCACCTCCTCTTAAGGCACTGCGACAGCTTCCAGCATTCCCCATCCAGATATTCCCTTCCCAGATTGCTGTTAGATGTCTACTAAGAAGTCTCTATATCTCAGTGGACTGTCCTCCATCACCCTCCCAGAAACTCAGGTCAGAAACCTGCAGGTCAACCAGTGCCCCCTGCCTCCTCCACCTCATTTTCCACATCCAGTTATCTCCCCATCCCCTTCTGCAAGTCGCACTTCCTGTCTGTCTGCTCTGCTCCGTCCTTGCTTACTTAGACATCCCCACCTCCCACCTGGACCAGAGCACCTGCTACCAGTCTACCAGCTTCTTCCTTCAGTTCATCCCCTGCAACTAGAATGCTCAGGATACAGTAGAGACCTGCTCGGCACTCTCCTTCTTATGAGCTCTTCTTTGATGATCTCATGCTGAAGATTTAGATACCAGATGAGACAAACACTCAGAATAAAGTCCCAAACCCTTGGTAGAACTTATGAGACTATGCCTACTGGGTCCCTGCCTTCTTCTCTAGATGCGTCCCCGGCCCCTCTGGCTTCTGGATCCTGCCACAGCTATTTTCCTGGCCTTTCTTTCTCTCCAATCCCATACACTTCCCACTTCCTATGTGTACATACAACGTGCCTTCCACACTTTCTAACCCAACCCTTAGGATAGCAGAAACCTTCCCTGCTAGACAGGTACTTCCAATCTAAGGTCTTTTTAAATTAAAGATTATTTATCTAAAAGGCAGAGTTACAGGAGCTGGCACCCATGTTGCTTAACAGCGTAATATTCTGCAGTGCCAGCATCGCATGTGGGTGGCCAATCACGTCTCTGCTGTTCCACTTCCTGATCTAGCTGCCTGCCTATGGCCTGGGAAAATGGCAAAGGATGACTTAAGCTCTTTAGCCCCTGCATGCATGTGGGAGATCCAGAAAAGGCTCTCGGCTTCAGACTGGCTCAGTTCTGGCCACAGCAGCCATTTGAGCAGATGGAAGGGGGTTGTGCGTGTGCATGTTTGTCTCCTTCTCTTTGTAACTTTGCCTTTCAAATTCTGGGGCTGCCTCCCAAGAAATTGAAGAGCAATGCAGCCATATTAAATATATTTGTTTTCATTATATCTGGAAGGCAGAGAGACAGGAAGAAAGAAATAAACATATCTCCCATCCACTATTTCACTCCCCAAATGCCTGCAGCAGCTAGGGCTGGGTAAGGCTGAAGACCAGAGCCTAGAACTCTCTCCAGGTCTCCCACTTGGGTAACAGGGTGCTCAGTACATGAGGCACCATCTGATGCTTTGCAGAGTGCATATTAGCAGGAAGTTGGATCAGTGGTGGAGTATCCTACACTCCATCCAGGCATCCCAGTATAGGATGCATGTGTCCTGAGCAGCAATTTAACTATACAGTACCAAGCACCTTCCTTAAAGAATTTATGCTTCCAAGAAAACTGCCAGAGTGACCCCGGCATTCCACTAAGTTTGGGAGTCCCTAGTAAGATGGTTTTTAACGTCCTTCTTGGCTATGAAATGACCTCAGTATCAGAACAATACACCCCTTTTCCGTCATAGGCTACAGAAAGCATTAAAATGCTGGTGACGCTGTGTCAGTCGGACACTGAAGAGATCAGAAGCGTGGCCTCAGAAACCCTCTTGTCCCTTGGTGAGTTCTTTGTGGTTTTTTTTTCCTTTGTTCTTGCTGTTATTTGGTGATTTTCACTTCTGACCCTCTCCGAGGAAGCTGTGAGGAAGCTTCCCACCCTGTTTTAGCAGTGCCTACCCCTGACCCCACATAGGTTGAAACTCACATACAGAGTGTCCATCCCACCCCAGCTGTCTGTCCCCACTGCGGGATGCTGCCACCAAGGACCTTCTCTGGGACCTTTCTCTGTGGGTTCGTCAGTGGGTGTGCTGCTTGGAACCCAGAGTGTAGAAGTCGAACCTGAAAGCATGTGGCCACAGGAATCCAAATTGGATTGCCAGGTTGGGGTGGCAGCCCCTGGAGGACAGTGAGGAATTGAGGCACTGGAGCTGTGTCTCTGGGACATGCTGTTACTCCAACTTCCCGAATCCCTCATAGCCCTCTGGCCTTTGCCAGCCTGAGCTATTACGTTATTCTGCAATATCAGATCACCTTTCCCCATCACTTTTCTTTAGACAAGTTCATGGATAGCAGGTTTCATACTCTTATCTGGGGACTTGGAAAAGCCTTTTTTAACTCTGTGTTGGAAGGTATGAAAAGTTGTTACAAATAAGCATACTGTAATATCACACATATAAGGTATAAAAACTATACCCCTGAGTTTTCATACATAATCCAAATAAATGCTACTTAGAAAAATGCCATCCTACTTTGACTATAGTAGCTTAAGAAGGCATGGGAGAATCTGGTGGCATTTATAGTCACATGAAAATGCCATTCACTGTTAGATCTTTTTTCTGATAGTTGCAGGTTTAAACAGGCTCCATTCTGCTGGAGACTTTTCATCCACTGCAGGGAAATCTTAACCATAATATGTTTGTTTAAAGGATAAAATAGAGAGGAAGTGAAAAAAATAAAGGATACAAATTATTTTTCATGACTGCTTTGAGGATGGAAATTATTTGATTCCCTAAACATGTACTTAGATATAATTTTTCCAACCTTATAAAGGAATCACAAATCATAGTAAAATAACTGATAGTCATTGATTTGACAAAAGTGTAAAACAAAGTTTTGCTAAAACATATTTGCAGAAATACTGATTTGCACACCTTTCTTTCTTATGATTTTTTGTTTATTTGTTTTATTTTAGTTCCCTCATATAAGGGAAGCCATGAGGCATTTGTCTTTTTGGGTCTGGCTTATTTCAGTTAACATACTTACGGTATTAGTAAACTCCTTTTCCCATTCGTCTTGCAAAATGGCAGTGACCGTAACAGCTAGATGTTTGTGAAATGTGCCCATAGTGTTTTTGCTTGCAGAGTCACCTGGGGAGTTTTATGCTTGTGGACTGCACTGCAGATTCTTAGACTCTACCAGGACAACCTCATTGCCAGGCTGGCTACGCTGCTTGACTTACCTGAGCTGTTTCACATAGGTGCTCACATCAGGCCCAGGCCAGCTTACACCATCAGCTCGGCGGATGTCAGATGGCTGCACTAGGCGCACTTCACCCTGATCCATGTCAGGGCTCCACTCCCAGAACTTCTACTTTCCTTGGTGATGTGTGCCTCAGCATTAGGGTGTCTTAAAGCTTTCCAGGCGATTCCAAGAAGCAACAGAACTTTACAAACTTAATGAGATGTATGCATTTTTCTTTCATACAGATAACTGAACTAGTAAAACTAGTAAATACTATCAAAACTGGTATTTTCAATAGTAATGGATGACCCTGATGTTCCAAAATTAAGTCAGATAAGGACAAGGCAATGTGGGCCTTAAGACATGTGTGAACAGGAAACAAGCCCTCTAGCCCGGAAATGTCAATAACATGCCCAGGTGGGCTTCTTTCAGCTCAGGGACCCCCTGTAAGTGCTAGCTGTCCTCTGCCCTAGACCTGGAATTCTGCCAAGTGAAAGCTCATAAGGCAGGACTGGCCACTAATACGCCATCCTTTGGAGAAGCAAATGAGCTCCAGCGTTAGCATCTTGTAGAGCTGGCTTTACCACTCCCTGAGTTTAGGGAGTTAAGCCAAAAAAGAGTGGCTGGAAAACTGGGATCCGATAGGATCTAGCATCTGCATTCAAAGGTCAACTTGGGGACTCTGTTCAAAAAATACTAGGTAGCAACAGAGAGCTCTGTTGGGTGCCAGACATCTCTAAGGTTGGCTGTGTGGGTGAGCTTGTTTAGTCCACCTGAGAACTTCAATAGGCTGGAAGTATGGCTGGTCCCGTCATTCACGATACCACATTAAGCTTGTGTAACAACCTGTGGACAGTCATACCAGCAGCAACATGGACTCCAGACCCTCCAGGCTACAGGGCTCAGGGACTTTGAGGAAAGAACTGCACAGCTTTAACCAGACTCTACTCCTGAGTGAACCAGGAGTAGGCCTGGTATTAGCAGGTTTTCATAGGGTATCTGCCCTCCCCTGGGCTTTGTGTGAGCAGGCAAGGGGAAAGCACATCACTACACCTAACTGTCCCATGGCTTTCTCCCTCAATCAAGTATAAACCTGCTCTGTCAAAGTACCAACACCAAAGGGCCCTAGGACTTTCACCATTTCACACCCTGCTATCCTTCCCATCTCTGGCATCAGTTCACAAGTTCTTTGTTGTTCTACTGTCTACCCAGAATACAGTAACATAATTAAGAAAAACAAAAGCTAACTTGTCCCTAGGTAAAATTAGCATGCAAATTTATACCAATCCATACCTACACAATCGGTATTCATTTAATTCGGTGTGATGACTTGGTGACTGTGTTTCATATCCTGCATCCAGGAGAAGCTGGGCGCCTGGCCTATGAGCAGCTGGACAAATTTCCTCGAGATTGTGTGAGAGTCGGCAGTCGTCACGGGGCTGAAGTTGCCACGGCCTTTTGATCACAAGCTAACTCTGCCTGACAGCTGTCCCGGAGAAGGTGCTGCGATCCTGCTGCAAAGGGTGCTGCAAGTGAAGATGCGTACCCAGGTTGTCAGAAAATTGAGCATGTCCCCATGATTTCAGAGCTCTGTTCACAGGACTGGTCTATTGTTCCTTGCGCTGACAGAATAGGGCTATGTCTAATCCAACTAATGACATCAGTGGTGTGTCTAACAAGACTCAGTGACAGAGTCTATCTTATCTTAATCTGTATGAAACTTTCAAACAGCCATCTTTGTACTTTTTTGGAAATTCAATAGGCTTGAAACTGTCATGTGGTATTTTCATATAAATAGCCAATGCCTTGCAGGTTTTTTTTTTTCTGTCGTGTTCTCAGGGTTGAATGGCCCCTCTATCTGGTTTTTACTTTAAATATGAAGCACACACACACGCACACACACAAATTCTTCAGACAAAAAACTGTCTGCAGAACCTGGCAAAATGGCCTGTTTGTAAGAGTACAATTTTTTTAACTTTACTGTTTTAAGCTACCAGTTTTTTTAAAAAAAGATTTATTTATTTATCTTTATTGGAAAGTCAGATTTACAGAGAGAAGGAGAAAAGAAAGATCTTCCATCCACTGATTCACTCCCCAAGTGGCCGCAATGGCTGCTGGAGCTCAGCTAAGCTGACCTGAAGCCAGAAGCCAGCAGCTTCTTCCAGGTCTCTCATGTGGGTACAGGGTCCCAAGGCTTTGGGCCATCCTCTACTACTTTATTGGGCCACAGGCAGGGAGCTGGAAAGGAAGTGGAGCTGCTGGGAGATATAAACTGGTGCCCATATGGGTTCCCAGAACATGCAAGGTGACAATTTTATCCACTAGGCTACCACGCCAGGCCCACTCCCACTATTTCTTTTGTTCCCTTTCTCAGTCTCAATGTCCCCAAAATTCCAAAATCATGTTTCCATTATGATAAAAAGTGAGTAGAATGGCTAAGCACTACCCAAGTGAGATTACATCCGTACTCTTAAAAGCAAACAGAAAACTGAAAGTTTATACTTTTTTTAAAAAATTGTAATTAACAGGAGCCATTCTTTATGATACTCTTACCTTAGAGGTATTATTTTGCTGCTAAGACAAATCAAAACCAAAAAGCTGTGCATTCAGAATACTGTGATACTCTTCAAGGTGGACAAACCTGGCGCTGCAGGACTCCGAATGGGGCAGGATTCGAGGGTCAGCGTGCGCCCTGCTTTTGTCAGAATGACCCTGGGGTCGAGGAAGAAGGGGATTCCGAGGAAGGGAAACCGCCCCTGGAGAAGTCGTTCACCGCCAGGTGGGGTCCTCTGGCCAAACAGCTAAAACAGCAGCTCCCATAACTGCTTCCACATCAGGGTAGCAAGTGCATTAAACAAGACCAAGGCCATCCAGTAGCTCTTATTAAGTAACTTTTCTAACTGTCAAGTGTATACCAGGTCGGGTATGCCAAGTTGTTAAGCAGTATATGAGTGTAATTTAAACTGTGGACTATCAACTGTACTCTGAAAGTGTTTGTATCCAATATCATTTAGATGTCACTCTAAATATTTACATTTTAGCAAGACTTTTCAAAAAGCATTTATTTCATTTTAAAGTGAAAATTGCTTGCCAGACTTCTGGCAAAATAGTTCTTTCAACTGTGAAGTCATAGTGTACATATTTGTATATTTATAAATATTATATATATATTTACATCTATGCTTCATTTTAAGGCACACTGTACAGTCCATAGTTAGTGCATATAATTTGTGGTCTACATGGTTGGAATGGTTCTTTTTATAGACAGTCAAATCCCAGATGTTACAGGATTTTTGTTTGGCTTGCTTTTGTTTTTTGGTTTTTTTCTTAAACATTTTTTTCAAATATTGCATGCCTAATTCCGTGTCTTTTGTATTCACTTCTGCATTTTACTTTTAGTTGGTGGGTACTTTTAGTTTTGTGGTATTTGTATTCATCACTGAATCATGGAAGCTAAAAATTAAAATTATTTTTGAATTACTATTCCCAGAGTCTGATGTATTTTTTTCGCACACTATTTATTGAACAAAATAGACCTCATGTCTACTTGAGCATATTCTTACCTTGAAATCACTCCAGCTATAAATGCAGATCATAAATCTTTAAAAAATAAATAAAAACCCTCAGGTTTCTTGTAGAGCAAATTGGAGGGAAAAGAACTGTTTGGGTGCCTGTGAGCAGAGAAACTATATGCTCCCTGAGGCCATCAACAGGCTGACCCAAGATCCCACTACGGCGCTGCCAAGGAGCCTGCCACATTCAACTCCAAGGGCTGACCCAGTGACGCACTCAGCACCACTGACTGTATTCATTGAGTCAGCAGTAAAAACAGGTCCCCGTGTAACTTTTGTTGCAATCTGCTCAACTGAATTGCCTTGGTTAGTTTACAGAATTAGAAAGTAAAATCATAAATCTTAGCAGAAAGCCATCAGGAAAGCCTGTTACTCCAAATGAAAAGGAAAATCAGTTCTGACATTTTCTTAGAGGCAGTGCCTCTTGTTAACAAATCTCTTTATTTTTAAGGAACACATTTATTTCTTATCTCTAGAATGCTCTTCAAATTTGTTTGAAAGTGTATTTATATAGTTTTATTTTATTTGAAAAGTGGAGAAACACAGAGAAAAAGAGAGACAACAATAGTCAAGTTGGGGCCAGGCCAAACCCAAAAAGATAGTGAAAGATTTCAGGTGGTCACCGTGGCAACTCCTCGTAGAGCTGGCCAATGAATAGATGGAGAGAGAAAACGCAAGTGGTGAAGTTATTTTTTCACAGAGAAAACTGTAGCACTCTGTTAATGATGCTAATAATTCAGTTGAGACAGGAAGATTACGAAGGCCAGCTAAGAGTGCTGGAGCAGCATCCTGGATGTGGTGAACGGACTGGCTGATACCTGCACAGACAGGGAAGGCCTGCAGGAGTTGGAAGAAAAGAGCACGTGGACACTTGGCAGTGGTGGTCCAGGTGAGCACTCTGGAAGTTCTGTGACTGCTTTGATCTTCTCAGAGAAATGGAGTGAATGGACAGTCAAGGGAAACATTGTGGACAAGAGATAGAAGAAGCCTGTGAAAGATCAATGGACAGAGCAGTAGAAAGGGGCCAACGTGCCCAGCCCAGCACAACCTACGTCAGGAAACCAGTGTCATCTGAGGTTATGTAAACCAGGCACATGAAAGTAAAACTTCAAATAGTAGAAGGTCTCCCATGCCTTTAGGCACCTATATGGCTTTCCCTTGGTTTGTGCTTGTATTTCCATTCTACAGCGTTGCCAGGCAATGCATTCTGGTATTCTTGGTGGTTAAGTTCTGCTACTGCCAGGGAGTCCCTGAAGCACCATGATGAAGACCCAGTCCTTCTGAGTGTGAACTCGTGTTAAGATGGATCGGTGTTGTACGGGGCTGTGGCACCACCTTCGGGAATTCTGGACTGTCACTGTGAAGGGCTGTTTTATAAAGAAAGAGGAAGAACTTATTCCTTCATCTGAGAGTATTTTTCACAAAGAAAAAATTGTGTCACTTGGCTGTACCTTGAAGGACCCTTCTGAAACCATTGAAAAAAGAGCTCAAGCTGCCCAGAGGATTGGCCTGTTGGCTTTCACAGGTACTGACCTAACCAGCTGTGCTATGAACCAGCTGTGATTCAGGGATAGATGTTTGGTGCAGCACTTAACATGACTCTTGGGACACCCACATGACATGTTGGGAGTACCTGGATTAATTCCTGGCTACTCTGCCCTTCTAATCCAGCTTCCTGCCTGCTCAAGTCCTCAGATCCCTGACACCCACGGGGGAAAGCCTGGATTCAGCCCCATACTCCTGGGTTTAATTACTGTGGAGCTTTGGAAAATGAACCCAGTGAATGAAAAATTGATTCTCTCTCCTCTCTCCTCATTTTTCTGTCTTTCAAATGAAGTTTTAAAAAATGTTTTTAAAAAACATTTAGAAAATAGCTGTTTCATAACTCTGCCTTTCAGAATGCTATATAATTTACAGATTCCTCTCAGCTTATCTTACAACTCCAGTGGCATTTTCCCTTGATTACGTTTTTTTTCAAATCTACACAGAAATTAATAATTATTTTTCTCCTGAAGGAGACACATAGGGGTGGACATACCAGTGGCTGGAACTTGGCTGGTTAAATCAGCCACCCTCTTCTCTCAGGGCCTTCTTGCCTAATACTTCAACAATGGAATTTGAGATTTGAACTGCGACCATCTGGGTCTCCAGGAAATGGCAAAAGCAGGGTTGAGGGTTAGGCTGGGTTTGTAGTGGATGGGAAAAAAATATCTTGTAAGGCCACGCTGCTTCAGATCTACAAAAGTTGGACAAGAAATATAACCAGGGTGGCCAGGCTATGTAGTGTGTTGGAGCCAACAGTGGACAGCGACTGTGGAACACAGTGGACAGCACCCCACAATGGCACTGCTCAGCCTCTTGCTGAGTTCCTTTTCTAGGTCGACATACAATGATTGGTATATCTGGGGTGCTGCGTGACATCACAATACATGAATACAGTGTCAGCTAGTAAGGGTTTCTACTCCCTGTCAGTGACTTAGAGGTGGAACCTTGGAGCTCTTCCTGGCCAGTTGTCATAAACTGTGGCTGCCAGGCGCCGCTGGCTGGGAACATTAGAACTTACCCTTCCTTATCTAGTGGCTTTGGTCCCTGTTATCCAAACTCCCTCCCTCTAGCCCTGCCCCCATGGTCTTCCCTGCAGCATCACCATTCTACTCTCAGCTTCTGCGAGATCAGTGCCTTTAGCTTCCATGGATGAGGAAGAAGATGTGGGTTTGTCCCTGTCCCTGCTCATGCTTTGATGTTCTCTTGGCTCCAGTGTTTATCCACTGCACTCCCGCCCCCTCCACTGCCACCGCCTTTTTTTCCCCCTCAGTACTAAGGATGGAGAACCAGGAATGAGACTCTGAAGGTGACTTGCTAGGTAGATCCAGTGGAGTTTAACTCACTGTGAAACACTCCAAAAAGCTGCGTGAAAGGAATTTTGGGAGGAGGCATAGGCAGGAAGTGTCCACCCCATGCTTTCCACATTATTCCTTGCTTATTAGCACAGACTTTAGTCTCTTCCGGGCAACAAAGGAGGTGCAAGTAGGGAACAGAGGGAAGACAAGAAAATTCAAAGTCCCCAAGAAGTTGTCTCCATGGCAACAGGAACACATCTGCATAGTTGCAGACTTTGCTAGCTACTAGATACTTCAATTATTTCTGGATATGCTATTTTTTTTACAGGAGGACCAAATGCGGGGAAATTTGCAGCTGAGTACATGCCGGAAGTAGCTCACTTGCTGCAATGTGAGATGAGCATCAAACCAAAGATCCTGCTGCTCCAGAGTGTGGCATGTTGGTGTCACTTAAACCCTTCCAGCCAGAAGAAAGCCAAACAGCTGCAATTTATCCCCATTCTCCTCCATCTTTTAGGATGTAATCTTGATTGTACTATCAAAAGTGAAAAAAAGGGCAGTCTCCTTATTAAGTTTTGGACTTGCTATACTCTCTCCGTCATGACGTGCAATAATCTGTCTTACGTTAGGGCGCTTCGAGACAGCAGTGAACTAAAATACCATTTGCAAATATTGGCTACGGAAAATTGGTCTGGATGGTCTGAAAATTTTGCAGAGGTGTTGTATTTTCTCATTGGTTTTCACAGGAATTAGTTTCTGTGAGTCGGATATGAGGATGCAGCTGCCTTTGCCCCTATATTACTCTGGAAAGGTGAAATGAATAAAATCAACATGTTATTCTTAAGTGTTTCCTGTTTTAGTCAAGAAGGTTCTGATGCTTTGTGTACAGTTAACAACGCTGATCGATTTTGTGAAAAGCAATGCCCTAGGAGCTGGCACACCACCCACTCTCACAGGAAATGAATTAAAGCACAGACACAGAGGGGACTAGACAGCCTTGTGAAAGGTCAGAGCTGAAAGTGCTTGTTCGTTCCCCTGCCACCTACATGGGAGACCCTGATGGAGTTCCTGGTTCTTGACTTTGGCCTGGCCCAGCCCCTGCTATTACATCTATTTGGTGAGTGAACCCAGAAGGGGTGTGTGTGTGTGTGACTCTGCCTTTGAAATAAATAACATCTATCTTTTCTTTTAAAAAAAAAGTCACAAAATGAAGTTCATGAAATAAGAATTCATTGAAAGATGCCTTAGTTACATATGCCTTAGGGGCAATGGTACATTCTAGAGCTACATTTATATGCCAGTAAGCCAAGGCTCCCACCTTACCAACTCCTAACCTAGTCTGCTTGGGTGCAGTGCCTCACCTGTACCCTTTGAGCCATAAGTATTTCAGGAGAAGCCCTGCCTGTCCTGTTTAGGGCTGTGGTTGTTTCCTGGATACATTCCTGATTGCTTGGAAGGCCAATGGGAGGCCCAGCGGACCTGGAGATCAGGCATTCAGTCTAGTGCTCAGGACACCCAGCCACATCCCACATCACAGGGCTTGAAATCAATTCTAACCTGGCTCCTGACTCCTGACTCCTGGTTCCTGCTTCCTGCTACTGGAGGCCCAAGGAGGTAGCAGTGAGGACTCAAGTAATTGATTCCATGCCCCGTCATGTGAGAGGCATGGTTGAGTTCCAGGCTCCCCGCTTTGGCCCCCTGTTATAGGCATTTGGGATGTGAGAGGACCTTTAGGTGATTGTAGTATCATTATAACGAAATTGTTATAGTCAGCACTCCCATCCGCATCATGCACTGACTCCATTGACAAGATGTAACTAGGCAGTTACTGTTCAGGGGAGCTGAAACTCTGGAACTTATAAGCCTGTCTCTTTACTAGTGGGTTCAATACACCCTTCCTGAGGGCACCTATAGCATCCGGGACCTGGGCGCATGCTCAAACTTCATCCAAGTTGTGTATCCGATTGAGAACCACTGCCTTTCTTCTACAAGGAGGTGGAAGATGGGAGAACATGTGCTTTCTGCCACAGACCCCACTTGGAGGCACTGCTGTGGTCAGGCTGTCCACTGCAGACACGTCTTGGTGGACCTCACCTGCTCTCACCTATATGGACTGTTTTCAGGGTTGGTTTTGTAATGTTTTGGGTTTTTTTCTCTCACTCTCATTTACAAGCAATTCTTTACCCACTCACGTTGGGCTCTTCTGTGGGGCTGTCTATACTCTTTGTGTGTGAATGTGTTTATTCTGTTCCTAAAGCCAATGTTGCGGCATAGTGCATGAATCTTGTGCCTACAATGCTGGCATCTCAAATGTTCATGTTCTGGCTGCTTCATTTCACTCACTGGGAAACCAGCGGAAGATGGCCCAAATGTTTAGACCCCTGTACTCATGTGAGAGACTGAGAAGAATCTTCTGGCTTTGGCCTGTTCTAGTCTCAGCCCTTCTACCATTTGGGCAGTGAATGAATGGGTACAAGATCTCCCTATCTCCTGCTCTCTCTCCTCTCTCTGTTGTAACTATGCCTTTCAAATAAACCAACCTTTCTTAAACATTTTTTAATTCAGTTTCTGCTTGCACACAATATCAGTGTCAATTTAGTATTTCAACCTCTGTGGTAGAATACAGACACAGCCTAGACTGGGAAATAATAAAAGCATTGCCCACATCAATCACGACACTAATATTACACAGCAAGGGCATAAAAATGGGCACGATCCAAGCCCCACCCCAAACTCTGCCTTCTGAATGCTCAGCCATGCCTTATTCCAGATAACACCACCTCCTGTGCCTCTAGACCTATGGGAGACTGGCCCAAGGCTTGCTGATTGCAGCTCATTCTCTTCTGAGATGGCCCACACTCATTATTTTCACTTTATATAAGTCTTGCTTTCCTATTCACCTTCTCCCTGTCTCTTCCTTAAGTTCTTTCTAAATTTGTTTTTATTTGAAAGATTTTATTTTTCATTTTTATTGGACAGATTTACAGAGGAGAGACAGAAAGATCTTCCATCTGCTGCTGGTCTACTCCCCAAATGACCACAACAGTCATAGCTGAGCCCATTTGAAGCCAGGAGCTTTCTCTAAGTCTCTAAGCAGGTAAAGGGTCCCAATGCTTTGGGCTATCCTCTACTGCTTTTCCAGACCGTAAGCAGGGAGCTGGATGGAAAGTGAACCAGGGACAAGAACCAGTGCCCATATGGGACATTTGCAAGGTAAGGATTTAGCCATTTAGCCATCATGCCAGGTTCCAGACCTGACTCTTGCATGTACCAGCAGTAGAGGGTATGGCTCGGTCTATCACCTACATTAACCTACCTTAGCACACTGGTGATTGTAGTTGCCTAATCAGTTCTGTCCCCAGCCTCATGTATTATGCAAAACTATAGGTATTGTGGCCCAGCCCAACCTAGTGTGCCACAGATCTGGCCCTGGCACACACCAGCAGGAACTGTAGCCTGGTAGGGGTGACCCTTATCAACTCTCATTAGACCTGCCCCCAACCCTGGTTCCTACACATGCCAGTACTTGCAGCCGACTAGTCTGGTCCATGCTGCATCCCAATCAGGTTCTTGTATATACCTATGGTGTCATAGCTTAGCTCAACCCACCCTACTCCATGATCTAGTCTATATGTACGCTGATGGGTGCTGCTGCCTGTCCAGTCTTGCCACCTTTAGCCCTGGCTCTCATGCACACCAGCCCAGCAGGAAGTGTCCACATTCCCCTATCAGTCTTGTTCCCAGTCCCAGATCTTGAGCTTGCTTGGGGGTTCTAAGGTCTAGCTTGACTTGACTTGCACCCAGTCCTGGTGCCTACTAAAGGGTGCTAAGGCCAGCACCCATTCTTGCTCTCGGGAGTGCTGGGGCCTACCCAAGTCTGGACCACTCCCAGACCAGGCCCAATCCCAGTACCTGTACTTTCCAGGGAGTACTATGGTCCAGTCTCACATGACTTGCACCCTGTCTTGGCACTTGTTAGCAGATGTTGTTGTGAAGCCTGGCCAGTCTGCACTTGGCCCTCCTCCAAATCTAGCTCACATGCAGGCCAACAGTTATTCCAGCCCTGCCCAGCCGAGTCCTCCCCAAGTCCCAGCTCTCATGCTCCCCAGCAGAAGCAGTGGCCCACACCAGGTTCACTCCCAGCCTGTGACCTTGCATGTGCCAGTAAGTGCTGTATCCTATCTGGCATGGTCCATCTTTCCTCAGCATTACACTCCACTCAGCTTGCTCCCAGTTCTAGCTCATGCTGACAGGCGCTGCAGTTCATCCAAACCCAGCCAGACCCCAGTCCTGGCCCTGATATAAACCGGCAAATGTTGCATCCCAACCCAGCCATGTAAAACAGCAAGCCTCACAGCAGCCGCTATAAAGGAGGCTTTAATACTTATACTAACACCATGTGATATGGTTTATCTCAAAAGCAAAGGAAGACTATAAGGCTAAGTAATCTCAAAGCTTGAAATTGTTCTACTTCCATTTTACACAAATTATTTGCATGGGTCTGGCATGATAGCTCAATGATTAACTCCTCACCTTGCAAGCACCAGGGTGCCATATGGTTATCAGTTTGTGTCCAGGCTGCTCCACTTCCCATCCAGCTCCTTGCTTAAGGTCTGAAAGTAGAAGACAGACCAAGTCCTTGAGACCCTACACATGCATGGAAGATCCAAGAGGCTAGGGATCCTGACTTTGGATCAGCGCAGCTCAGGCCGTCCTGGCCACTTGGAGAGTGAATCAGTGGATGGAAGATCTTCCTGTGTTTCTCCTCCTCTCTGTGTATCTGACTTTCCATAAAAATAAATAAGATCAGTTACAGAGAGAGGGATGGATAGATCTTCCATGTTAGTTCACTCCACAAAATGGAGTGAATGATGGTGAGCTGAGCTGATCTGAAACCAGGAGCTTCGCCTGCGTGTACCACATGAGTGCAACAGCCCAAGCACTCCTCTGTTTCCCCAAACCATCCGCAGGGAGATAAACTGAAGTTGAGCAGCTGAGACTAGAACCAGAACCCATATGGTATGTTGCACTGCAGGCGGACATCTAGTATGATAAACCACCAGGCCAACCCGTACTTTAAAGTCAGACTTACAGAGAGAAGCAGAGACGGAAAGATCTTTCGTCTGCTGATTGGCTCTCTAAGTGGCCACGACAGCTGGAGCTGAGCCAATTGAGATCCAGGAGCCTCCTGTAGGTATCCTATGTGGGTGCAGGGTTCCAAGGCCTTGCCCAGCCTAGACTGCTTCCCAGGCCACAAGCACGCAGCTGGAAGAAAAGTGGAACAGCTGAGACACAAACCAGCACTTCTATGGGCTCCTGGCACATACAAGGGGAGGACTTTAGCCACTAGACTACTGCACTGGGCCCACCAACCTCAATTTTTAAACAAGAAATAGAATGATTTTTTTTCCTTGCCTCCTCCGAAACAGCAAAGAAATGTGGGGGGCGCAGAATCAACATAAAAGCAAAGAAATACATAAATTTTCTGCACTTATATTTCTATCAATGTACACACAATTTCCAATAGATTTAAAGTCTAAAGTTTATTTATTTATCATATACACAAGTCTTGTGTGAGAACTGAGAAAATGTTATTTAAATAAAACATCACACATTAAAAATACATAGTATTTGTATTTTCATACAGTAGGGTCGCAGTAGTTGAACAACAGCTTGCAGAATGTGCAGGATGCAGTTACTCTGCTCTCAAGAACAGCGGAGCTCAGCTTCGGCAGCACATTGCTCAAGAGTCACACAGCCCTGAGCCTCACATGCCCGGGTTTGCATCTGTGGAGGAGCTCACTACTTCTTCAGCACAGACGCCAGTTTCTAAGTCTTCCTCTTCAGAATCCTCAGCAGCTTCCTGCTCAAAATCCTCACCAGCTTCCTCTTCAGAATCAAATTCCTGGCTGTCGGGTGACTCAAGGTCATGCAGGGATCTACCGCTCAGTGTCTTTTAAAGAATAAAATTCATTGTAAGTAAATTATAAATAAAGTCCACATCACAATGCCAATACAGCTGACCTTGAAAGTTCTACTGAGATTCTCATCTTGCCCCTCTAGAAAGTTCCTGGGCTGTCTCAGCCTCTACCGTGCTAGATCATAATTTAGCAAAACCGGCGTTCAATAATATGCCAACTTTCTCAATAAATATTTTCATAGTATAATGTGAATTCATATTCCTTCATGGTTAAGAGGAAGGGCCACCACAGTAGCTCAGAATGAGTTTCAAACATTAATTCTGTCATGGCTCTAAAAGAGCCAGGCCACAATCTGGCACTTGAAAAGCTTCAATCTGAAAAACTGTCTTCCCATAAGTGAGACTTTTTGCTTTGGCAAAAAATAAGCCTTAACATCCTCAACACCAATGTGTTAATAAGCTATGAGGCCGATTTTAAATACACCAACTACTCCTAAATCTTAAAATTGTGAGCCCGAACTCTGGTACAGCAGGCTGACCTGCTATTTGTAATACCAGCAAGATCCACTTCCCTACTAATACATGTGGGAAGGTGTGAAGGCCAAGTACCTGGACGCCCGTCAGACATAGACAAGCCAAATGTCACTCCAGGCTACTGCTTTTGGCTTGGCTTAGCTGGGGCTGCTAAGGCCATTTTGGGGAGTAAACAAGGTAGAAAATATCTGCCACCCTTTCAAGTAAATAAATAAATAAATAAATAGCGGGGAAAAAAAGATGAAAAGACAAAACCACCAAACCTATTCAGTACACTGTTTCACAAATGAGTTATTTCACATTACTATTAAAGCAAAAACTAGGGGCTGGCATGATGGCTCAACTGGCTAATCTTTCGCCAGCACGCACCAGCATGCAATACGGGCAACTTGTTCATGTACTGGCTGTTCCACTTTCCATTCAGCTTCCTGCCTACGGCTCTCGAAGGCAGTGGAGGAAGGGCCATGGGACCCTGTACCCACATGGGAGACCCAGAAGAGCTTCTAGCTTCAGATTGGCTCAGCTCTGGCCGTCACAGCCATTTGGGGAGTGAACCAAGGGATAGAAGGTTTTTCTTTTTCTCTCTCCTTTTCTCTGTAAAATCTGGTTTTCCAATAAAAATACATCTTTAAAAAAAAAAATGAAACAAAAACTAAGAATCTGTCAGCGGTGAAACAGTAAGTTTCCATGTATTTTTCAGATGTTAATTCCTTGCAGTAACTCTACACAAAAAACAGATTTTGCTTGGAAATACATAGTCATAGATTTCAGTTTGTGGGTACTTTATAACTGTCTATCTATTCTGATCCATTTATTTTCACAAGCCTTTGAGGCAGGCAGGCACTTCTAGTCACATTTTATAGATGAGGAAAATGAAACAAAAAGGATAAATAAGGGGCCAGTGCCAATTCTCTGCATGTGGTATTGGCATCCTCCATGAGCACCAATTCACATCCTAGCTCCTCTACTTCTGATCTTCCCTGCTCAGGTGCCTGGGAGAGCAGCAGCAGCTAGCCCAGGTGCCTGGGCCCCTGCACCCATGTGGGAGACCTGGAGGAAGTTCCTTGCTCCTAGCTTTGAGGCTCTGGGCACTGCAGCTATTTGGAGACTGAAGCAGCTGTTGGGAAATAACTAACTCTTTCACATAAAATACATAAATCTTTAAAAATAAATAAATAAATAACATTCTATTCAAATCTAAAGGTGAATATCCAAACCTAAGGAATCTGGTTATAGAACTGGACATTTACTGATCACATTATTGTCTCAACTCTAGAAAAATACAGTTTTTGAATTAGGTGACTATTCAGTTACTTACCTCTATTACCTGTGCCATATACTGAACATGTTCGGCTACTTCTGCCAATTCTTTGTTCTCCTTTTTCAAGCGGGCGATTTCATTGTCCCTCTGTTCAATCTCTTTATGAAGCTATTTAACATAAAGTTCAGTACACAGATTCATATTTTATAAACCAAAGTACATACCTCCAAGGACATAATATAGATGCACGCGGCACAAAGCTGGCTTTCAACATTTGTATGTTAACTCTGGCAACAACCGCCTTTTCACTTGGGCTCTTCCCAGGGCACAGGCACTTGGAGCCACGGTTAAGAAACCACTGGGGATACCTGCAGCCCATCTCTAAGCACTTGGGTTCAAGTCCAGGTTTGGCTTCCCATGTACCCGTCAGTGCCCACCCAGGGAGGAAGTAGATGACGACTCCTATCTCATATTATTGGCCCTAGCCAACCATGTGGGAGACCCTGACCAAGTGTTTGGCTCCTGGCTTCTGCTTAGTACCTAGTACCTTCTGCTTAGTACCTAGTCCAGTCCCAGTTGTGGGTGCCTGGGAGGTAAACCAGCAAAGAGAGCTCTGTCTTTCTCAAAGCTTTTTTTTATAATTATTATTTTAAATTAATGTAGGCTAACAGTAAAGCTAGTTTATAATGCTATAATCAGCAGCAAAAGAAAACAATCCTACCACACTTTACATAGTACAAATTATACTCAATACATACTTTCTCATTTTCCTTAAGTGTTTCATAGAGAGCCTTCCTCCGTTTTTCTGCCACTTCTTTCCAATACTGAGAAGGTGCATTTTCTAAAATAAATAAATGTTTATACATAACTGAAAAATCATTGCAAAGATGTAATAAGTTTTTCAGAAACTTTCAAAACTTTTGACCTCTACCCACAGTACCCAGTAATTCTCATTTTTAAAAAAGACAGTAAAATCATTCTTTTCTACTGTCCCTAAAACTTTAAAGACTTTACTTTAGAAAAAACACAATAATATAATAGGTATACATTATCTTTCACATACATTGCTGAAAAGATTTTTAGAGTTTTGCCACATTTATTTTGTGTATTTTTTGTATTTTCATTTGTTCAGCACTGATATTTTTTAAAGGTTCAGCTCCGTTATTTTGTACATTTCTGTTTTACTCTGGGGTTATTTCCCTGATTATATCAAAGCTGAACATCTCTGGCAGGAACATTCCATACAAGTATGTTGTTTCCACAGGAAGCACATGGCATGGAAAGCACTGGTTAAGATGTCACCCACATTCTCTCTCAGGAAGATACTCCTGTTCCTGAGTAAATAACAAGCCACAGCTGGAGTATAATTTTGAGTCTCTGCTGATGCCCTGTTCCCCAACAACTTTCATACAAATTAACTCCACTTAGGTTTCCTACTTAAATCTTTCACTTCAATAGGTAAAAATGATTTTTCCATTTTTGTCATTTCTATTACATGTAGTAGCTCTATAAAGAACCTTCCTTATCCCAATTTAAGAAAAACCTTTGAGTATGGATTCATATGTTCTTTTTAAATTTGATGTAACAGATTCTACTCTTAACAGTATTCATTTTGATGTGTAAATTTCTCCAGGCTGATTCTTCTTTTAACTTTTCAACAGTCTTTATGCACTTTCCCCACTTCCTGACACAACCTACTTATTCAAGGATCACCATCAATTTCTCCAGCCCCTACCGTGGAATTAGCCAGATGATGAGGGGCTCTGCAAACCAAGAGCTAGGTGACAGCTGTGTTCTCTGCTACACGCATCATTTTAGTTTCTAAGCTTATCAATAGCAGAGGCAGAAAACAGAATGCTTTTTAAAAAGCATTAATTTATACTGACAGACCCAATTCCAATCTAGCGGAGCTCCTCCTCACCTTCCCCATTCCAAAGCACTGCTATTTCCACGCACCATGAGTAAGCCTGGCTCCCGACAAAAGAAGCAATGCTCATGCTCAATTGTAAAATATATACAAAATTTTCAAAAATTACTATACCAGCTGCACTGCCAAGATCGAAGTTAACAGTTTCTTAGGCCCTCTGCAGCTCTTCAAATTCTTGCACTATATCCAGCCTATGGAGGGGCTACATAATTTTATATTTTTTCAACTATGGTTTTATTAACATACAAAACTTAGTTATCTTACTTTTTGTTCTGGGGGCTCAAATTAATCCTTGGTGACTAAATTTTAACTTTATTAGATGAGTATCACAATTATTTTAGTCCACAGTGTTGTTATGTATTTCCACTGCCATTCCACACAAACTAGTACCACAGACAATGCTTCTTATTCCTCTTCTACCACATCTCAACCGATTCCCTTATTTTATATTAATTCCCTGTATGATTTTCTTCTAAAAGATCATTTCCATATCTTAAAACCCAAGGCAATATAACTATGACAACAGGCATCACTGCTTTTCTTAATATTTCATATACATTTGGATTTTGCCAAATGGTCATGCTTGTCCAATTTTACACTGTTTACATATTTATAATCACAAGAAAATACACTATCAAAAAGATATAAACAAACAGCATCCATATATATAATTTAGCATAGGTTTTTTTTTCAACCAGCACCCATATATTAAAAGGGAATCCATATATTAAAAGGAAATAGGCACAATTCACATTAGTAACTTCCGTGTATTCTTAAAGACAGACTCATCTATTCTTTCATACCTTTAACCATAAGATCGAATGCTTCCTGGGTCACTCCGTCAAGATTTTTGTTTTCATTCTGTTCTGAGACAATAACATCACCAGAAGTCTTACAAGTCTTGGAAGTTAACTGGTCATTTCGATGTCTCCTTTTTGATACACCTTTGGTCAACTATAATAAAAACACTCATTAAAATCTTATTAATTTTGACTTAATAAAAGTTGAGTGGTCTGGCCACTCAAATATTTGAAAAAGTAAACAATTCAAAACTGTATAAAAATGTTCCAGGAATTTTATTTCAGAAGGTATTTTGGATTATACTCGAATCTAAGACCTACCTGAAGTAATTTACTGTGTTTCAAGACTGTATAAATTGACTATCTCTTATCTAAAGTGCTGGGACCACAAGGGTTCTGGATTTCAGAATTTTTTAAGATTTTGTTATAATTGCATACATAACAAGATATTCTGGGGACTGAACCTGAGTCTAAACACGAAATAAACTTCAGCATTATAAACACAGCTTTAATATAATTTTATACAATATTTTTAGTGTTCCTATTTCCTGACTGTAATCTATCACATTAAGTCAAGTATAAAACTTTCCATTTGTTGCATCACGTCACCAAAGTCTTTCAGATTTGGGGCATTTCAGACTTCTGATTTTGTATTAGGGTTCCTGAGCCTATATTCAAATGTAGTACCATGGAGCAGCAGTATTTTTTTTTTAAAGATTTATTTATTTTATTGGAAAGGTACAGAGAGGAGGAGAGAGAGAGAGGAAGAGCTTCCATCCGATGATTCACTCCCCAGGGAGCCTCAACAGCCAGTGCTGCACCGATCCAATCCAAAGCCAGGATCCAGGAACTTCTTTCTGGGTTTCCCACGCGGGTGCAGGGTCCCAAGGCTTTGGGCCGTCCTCAACTGCTTTCCCAAACCACAAGCAGGGAGCTGAATGGGAAGTAAAGCTGCCGGGATTAGAACCGGCGCCCATATGGGATCCTAGCACGTTCAAGGCAAGGACCTTTAACCATTACGCTATCATGCCGGGCCCGAGCAGCAGTATTTTCTATCTGGACATCTAGGCCTGCTCATCTATGATTTCATCACCTACACACAGGGGCAAACAAAAGAGTCTAACATTTTGTTCTCAAAATATCAAATATGATACCATGTTAATTTTTAACTTATTGTACCAGTCTAGTTCTATATTTGTATTCACAGCAATTTTGCAGATCATCAATTGAAGAAATAAAACTACAATGGACATGTAATTGTTACTCTTATAATATTTAAAATTCCAATTTAGAGAGATCTGACCAAGCATTTCTTAGAAATGTTTTTAATGTTGAGTTAATACCGCCTGTGTACCACTCCAGTCCTGTAATACATACCTCATTTTCTCTTCCAACAAGAGATCCAGCTGCTGAAGGCTGAATCATCTTCAGAGTTCTTCTCGGGACAGGACTGTTCTAAAAGTCAAACACAGTTCATTACATGGAAGTTAACTGCTACAAAGTTGTCCAGTTACTAGATTTCAACACAGATCATCAATGTAGAACAGTAATACTGTTCTGCTATATAGTTTTATAATGCTATTTATGAACAAATTTCCTGAAACTATAATAGCTTGAAGAAATTTTTAACTATTATCACACAATACTGAAGCAACTTTCCTCTTTTCAATATATACTTGTTGTAAATCTGCCAACTTATTATATTTAGTTGAAGATAATGAAATTTCTAGATTCTAATTTATCATCTAAGTCATGTGATTAGTACAACAGGAATATTAGCATTCTCTCTTTAAAAAGTACAAACTTACAGGTTTTCTAGTTTTATAAAATCAAACATTCTAATACGTATTCCATGAACTCATAAAAGAAAAAAATCAGGAGAAAAGGTTAATTATTTACACTGCCAGGAAATTCCTTCCAAAAAGAACTCACCTGACTTCCTTTACATTTTAAATATTCCTAAAAACATATGGAAATATATTCGACAAAGGAATATACTTTTTATACAAAGCTAAGTATACATATGAGATACCTGATTGTAGCAGACTTGTTTCAAGCAGACAAGTAAAACATGAGGGCTTAGAGCATACCAAAATGTTTTAAAATGCCCAAGCCATTGTTTTAGAAAAAAACATTACCTTCCTTGTAATATGTAAATATCTTCCAGTGTATTTACTGATCTGAAAGCTCCCTCTATTTTTGCAAAAATCATTAGTTATACTGCCACCACGGGACAGCAAACAATGGTGTACTCAAACAAGGTCAGCAAGAACATGACACCACACCAGCGTGAGAAAGTTACTGACTCCGCACTGTACTTCACACGACTGGAGCTCACCTTTCCCACGGTAAAATTTCTGTTGATTATTATCTCACTATTTAACTGAAGGACAAATGCCAACTACCAGGAGAACAAATATTACACCAACATAATTTTAATTTAAAATCTTGATTAGCCAACAGACTCCAAACAGAAGAAATTAACTTTACAACTTGAATCGGAGCTGCTGTTTTAGTTAAATGCTTGCGGTGCTATTGATAATAGTCAAAGAAGCTAAGTGACTAGTGTACACAAAAATGACTATTTCTAAGACTTAACCTTTATTCATGTAAGATTAATAGAATATAGCCTTAAAAAAGGTAAGATTATTGTTATTTCCTATATACTATGCATTACATTAACAGAATTTTAAAGGCACAAGTTTTCTTAAACAGAATGACTGTTTCTTTTGAAAATAATTGACATGGAACCCATGGACACTTAATTAAAGTTCACATTTACACATCTAGTTCTAGTTTAAATTCGTTGACCTAGAGATGAGTAGCCTGAGGCTGAGAGGCTAATTAATTTATCCATAGTCGGTTTTGAAGATAGAATCAGAGCCAAACAGAAACCACACCCCCTGTCTTTTTCTATAGCAGTTTTGTTCAGTTAGAAAACAATAAATTATTTTAAATATAAGGATCTACTAGAATTAACCTATTTGAGATTTTAAAGTAACTCAGTGGAGGAAAGGGGAAAAACAAAGTATACTAGCTGCTCACTGGTAAAACTAAATTATGATTGTATTACTAGTTATTTTTGAATGTTTGCAGTTTTCATACTAAAAAGCTGAGCCGGCACTATGGCTCAACTAGCTAAACTTCCACCTGTAAGTGTCAGCAGCCTATATGGACACTGGTCAGTGTCCCGGCTACTCCACTTCCAATCTAGCTTCCTGCGTATGGCCTCAGAAAGCAGTGGAGAAGGGCCCAACTCTTTGGGACCCTGCAGCCACATGGGAGCCCTGAAAGCTTTTGGTTCCCAGTTTTGGATCAGCTTACCTCCAGCCACTGTAGCCATTTGGGGAGTGAACATGAAAATGGAAGCCACTTCTCTGTCTCTCCTCTATCTAAATCTGCCTTTCCAATAAACAGACAAATAAATAAATCTTTTTAAAAAGTATAAACACACAAAGCATAGTGGGAAGATGTCATTGAGTAAATGGACTTAAAAGAAATCAAATTTCGCCAGCAGCCTCCTGGCAGCTGGTGGGTCTCAGGACGGGGCGTCTCAGGCCTGGATCCCAGATGGCCGCCATGGGCACATGGTGAGCCGTTCTCCCTGGGCCTGCTGGGTTTCGGGGGCCGCTTCCTTCGGGGTGAGTAGACCGAGGGGGGAGGCCTCCGGGACTGGGCAGATCCGGGACCCACCCACCGCCTTCATGGGGCGGTGAATGGGATTTGGGAGGGGCGCGACCTTGGGCCTGGGTTATTTAAACCTCCAGCAGCCTCCTGGCAGCTGGTGGGTCTCAGGACGGGGCGTCTCATGCCTGGATCCCGGACAGCCGCCATGGGCACAGCCGCCATGTGCTGAGCTGTCCCCGGGCAGCCAGTGCGCCATTTGGTGCCAGGCTCTGCCTGCTGGCTGCCCGGCCGGGGAGCTCTGGGGATTTGGTTTTTTGAGTTGCTGCTTAATTAGCTCCAGGTTGAACCCATTGTGCTTCTTGGACCTGAAACAGGCAGTAACTCTTCCTTAGCAAAACTTGTAATCACTAATAATGCTGAGCACCAAATACCAGTCATGCAGAAGCTATGGCTTGGGGCTTGTCCTGCACAAGTAGCTCCAATAGCTGGCCAATGTGTCAACTGGTAATGCAACAGAATAGATTAGGCACGACTGAGCAAACCTTAGCCCACAAGTAAAACTAGAAACCAGGAGGGAGCAGAGGTCATGCCGAGCTAGGCTCTTGTACCTGCTGGTCTGTGGGAGCCTGGGACGCTAAGCCACAGTGTCTAAGGCAGAGTTCGGGACAGGGGAGGGGCTGTGCCAAGCTGAGTCAGAGCATCCATTGGCAGGCATGTGATCTATGGCTGGGAACAGACCCGGTTGGGGAGCAAAGGGGACAACCCTAGCTGGGTTGAGGTTCCCACCAAGAGGCGCGTGGCCTGGAAGGGGGGCTGCGTTCTGATCTGGAAACAGTTGTAGTCTCCCTTGGCACAAGTGTGGACTGGGATTGGATGCACCGAACTGGGCCGGACCCCGACTCCCCCTGGTGTTCTGGAGGACCAGGGCAGATGTGGGATGGACTAGGCAGGGTCTCAAACCCCTACTGAGCCATGTGTGAGCCATACGTGGGTATGGACAAACCATGGCTGGGCTGGAACATCCAACAGCAAGAACCAGATTGGGTGGAAGGCCAGTCAGGAAAAGCCACAGTTCCTGCTATGACAGGAGGTGGACTGAGTAGGGTTGGCTCATGGACCCACTGGTAAGCGTGAAACCTGGCATTGGGAGAGGTTCTGATGGAGGAGCCTTGGCAACTCCTCTGGCAGGACACAGACCCAGCAGGTAAACGCAAGAAACATGACAGGAAACAGCCCAGAAAAGGCCATGGAAAACTACCCACTGGCATACAATTGGCAGATGTGGGGGCAAGACCAGGCTGAATCTGTCCACATCATCCACTGGCAAATCCAGGCACCAGTGTGGGTCGACCCAGGGTCGGTCGCAACAAAGACTAGTGCACATTATGGAATGCCGAGGTGAGGTTGCCTGTACCGGAAGGGACCGCAGCGCCCAACCAGCCTGAGAACAAGAAAGGAAGTGGGCAGAGCTGGCAGGGGAATAAGGGAGGGTTCCTTTGCAGGACAGCTACTTCCGCAGGAGAGCATGGGCTGGGATGGGGGCAGACCAGGCTAGGCAGAGCTACCACACCTGTGTGCCTCATGCGGACTAGATCAGGGAAAAGCCGGGCTGGGCGGATTATTCCTACAGGTGCAAACAAAATTAAAGTGGGCGAGGGGTGTTTGGGCTTAGATGCAGCATCAACTGGAATCTGGGAGTGGGAGAGGCCTGGGAGGGAAATAGTGGGCTCATCCCTCTTGGGTTACCACTCCCACAGGAGGACATAAAACTAAGACAGCTGCTGGGGTGGAATGGGGTGTGGGACAGACTGGATTACTGCTACACTTACTGGCAAACCAGGGTAGGGGGTGGGCCTGGTGGGGATTATTGTGGGTCGCTCCAACCTAGGCTGCAGCTCCCGCTGGTTTATGTGAGGGCCAAGTATGTGCGGGGCAGAACCAGGCTGGACTGCAACACCCAGTGGTTCCAGTGCAAGTCGGGAGTGAAAACAGAACCAACCCAGCAATTGCAACCACCAGCTGATTGGAGCAATGGACGGTGCCAGGCCCTGTACTTGTTAGCACACACAAGAAGTTTCTTTGGAGATCTTCCTAATCTAATTGCTGGACTCAGAACCCTAACGAAGAAAAGAGAGAAGACAGAACAGGTCAACCAACCATCTCAGCTATGATGGACTATGTCAATCAGTGGATTTTTCAAAGATCTCATAGTGCTTGGAGTGGCAAGATTGACAGTGATTCATAACTGTGGCAATATCAAAACCACTTGAGCAAGAACCTCAGAGCATGCCCTACGTCCGGGACCTGGGGAAGGTGGGAAATTGGGTGGGCTTCTCCCTTAAATACCCCCCTTTTAACATGAAGGTAACAATATGGAAAACATACTAGTATTATCCACTTTCATGTAGCCCTTGAACCTTCTTACCCTAATTAACTATGTAAAGAATGTCAAAATAAAATTTATTAATAAAAAATAAAAAATAAATAAATAAATAAATAAAAGAAATCAAATTTCGAGATTTTTCAATTCCAAGTTTTACTTGAGAAAATAAAAATATAAAGATGCTGAAACAGGCAAAACAGCCAATCAAAAGCCACTTGCTTTCATTTACGAATGGGTTTTAGTTACTTAAATATGCAAGCTGAGGGCCAGGTGTGGTAGCCTAGCAGCTGAAGTCTTTGCCTTAAACGCACCCAGGATCCCATATGGGCGCCGGTTCTAATCCCAGCAGCCCCTGAGCTTCCCATCCAGCTCCCTGCTTGGCCTGGGAAAGCAGTCAAGGACGGCCCAAAGCCTTCGGATCTTGCACCCACATGTGAGACTCAGAAAATGTTCCAGGCTCCTAGTTTCGGATTGGCGCAGCTCCAGGCCCTTGCGCTCACTTGGGGAGTGAATCATTGGACAGAAGATCTTCCTCTCTGTCTCTCCTCCTCTTTGTATAGCTGACTTACCAAAAATAAATTTAAAATCTTCAAGCTGAAATATTGTATATGTGGCCTGATTACCAGAATGATTCTCACAAACCTTTAAATTCTGTTATAGGATTCATCTAAATTACAAATTTTCAGAATCATACAGCTGGACAGAATTAAAATCACGCATTCAAAAACAAACTCTGTTCTATAGTCCTAACAGTAAATATTTATTTTTTTTAAGATTTATTTATTTTTATTACAAAGTCAAATATACAGAGAGGAGGAGAGATAGAAATATCTTCCGTCTCATGATTCACTCCCCAAGTGACTGCAACGACCGGTGCTGTGCTGATCTGGAACCAGGAGCCAGGAACCTTCTCCAGGTCTCCCACACAGGTGGGAGGATCCCAAGGCCCTAGGCCGTCCTCAACTGCTTTCCCGGGCCACAAGCAGGGAGCTGGTTGGGAAGTGGAGCTGCCAGGATTAGAACTGGTGCCCTCATGGACTGTACCGTGCCCTGTACTTGCAAGTACACACAAGGCTCTGGTCTGGGAACACCTCAAAGTTTCTTTGGGGAACTCCCCAATTGAAATGCCGGACTCAGAACCCTAACCATGAAAAGACAGAAGACAGAACAAGTCAATCAACCACCTCAGCTATATGTTGGCAGCGAAATACTGGGCAAACGGAGACTCTGATGGTCTATGTCAATCAGTGGATTCTTCAAAGACCTCATCGTGCTTGGAGTAGCGAGATTGGCAGGAATTCATAACTGGTGAACTATCAAAACCATTTGAGCTAGAATCTCAGAGCATGCCCCACATCCAGGACCTGGGGTGGGTGGGAACCTGGGTGGGGCTTCTCCCTTTACCTTTACCCCAGATACATGAAGGAAATAATATGGAAATAATAGTCTTATCCACTTCCCTATAGCCCCTGAACATTTTTACCCTAATTAACTATGTAGATTGTCAAAAATATAAGAAAAAAAGAAGAAAAAAAAGTCCACTTGAGAACCAGCACCCATATGGAATCCCACCCGGTGCATTCAAGGCAAGGACTTTAGCCGCTAGGCCATGCCACCGGGCTCACAGTAAATATTTACAATAAGGTTTTGTGTGAGCATAATCCAAGAATTCAAAAAAGTCACAAACATAACAGGTAAGAATATGATGTATTGTTAAAGGCTTATTATATGACACAACACCTCTCTGTGTGATCAGACACTAATTCTCATAAAAATAGAAACAAAGTGATAATATTACACACAGAACATTCCAAAGAACCTTCTAAAAAAAAACTACTAGAACTAACCAATTTTGGATAGATCGCAGAAGATCAAAACAAAATCAACTATTTCTATGCAGTAACCAATGATCACACTCAGAATCAAATTAAGGAAGCAATTTCATTCACAGTAACATAAAAAAGAATAAAACTGCAAAAGCTATAAAGTATTGTTGAAAGAACTGAATAGTAAAAAATATCCCAGCCCATGCTTATGATTCAGACTTAATATTCAGGAATAATTTTTTAAAGTTCCCTATTATGCATTTTCATCTAAGTAAAAGGCTGATAACTCAAAAGTTATAGAAATTATAGCCAAAGTTTATACACTTGTTTAAACTTGTTTAAATTATGCCAAATTCCCCTCCTCCCGCACTTTTTTGGGATGATTTTACTGAAGAGTAAGAGAAGACAGAGCTATCTCCCATCCACTGGTTCTCTCCCCAGGGGTCACAAGGGGTGGCTGGGCCAGGAGGCAGGAGCTCCCTCCAGCTCTCCCAGAGGTGGGCAGGGCCCTGCTTCACAACACTGACCTCACAAAATACTTGCAAGCCCGTGTTTTCTACAGCAGAATGAAGGGACTCTGTTACATACCTTTCCATTCTCTTGGATTCCTTCTTGTTTCTGCTTCATACTGGGATTCATTACACAGCTGGCGAGGTACACACGACTAGTAATTAAAAACAGAAATATGGTTTGCATCTAGAAATGGAGCCCAGATTCTTCACTACAAGTATTTATATCACTCCAACATAAAGCACAAGAATACTTCAAGAAGTTCATGAAAAAACAGACTCAAAAGTTGCAGCACAAAATAATTCTTAAATCTACAAATGAGATCTTCAAAAGGTTCAGTAAAATGCATAATATGAAAAAACTAAGCATGGACTTCAAAAATTTTCTGTACTCAAAATCATCTTTTTAAAAAAAGTATATATTGGGGGCTGTGGCCTGTGGCACAGCTGCTAAAACTGCTGCCTGCAATACCAGACATCCCGCATTGGCACAGGTTGGGCACTGGCACAGGTTGGCGTGCCACTGCTCCACTTCCACACCAGCCCCCTGCTAATTCCCTGGGAAAGAGGAGGAGGACGGGCCCCTGCATCCATGGGGAGAATGAAAAGAAGCTGCCGGCTTCAGGCTGGCCCAGCCCCAGCCTTGGGGACCTTCTGAGGGAACCAGCACATGGAAGATGTCTCCCTCTCTCACAACAGTTACAGAGAAAAGAGATCTTCCATGTACCGGTTCACTCCTCAGGTGCTTGGCAGAGCCAGGAGCTTCTTCTGGGTCTCCCATGTGGGTACAGGGGCCCAAACACCTAGTCCATCTTCCACTGCTTTTCCAGGCCAGTAGCATGGCACAAGCTTTGGAAGTGGAGCCACTACCAAACTGTGACTGCGGAGTCACAGGGGGTAGCTTTGCCCTCTGACGACAATACCAGCACTCACACTTTTGCTTTTTTCATAGACATTTTTAAGTCTCCTCTCTTGTCACGGTAAGTCTGATCAGAAAAGAAAAAAAAAATCTCACTATAAAAGAAAAACTATACATTTTAAACAAATTTGTAAAACAGGCTGACAACTTAGGCTCTCAAAAACCTGAGAAATTAGCACCTGTAGAAAAAGCAAAACATACATGGGTGTGTCCATGTCCATCTGATAGAATAATATCGAACTCTACTATTTCCAAGTCGGAGGTACCAGCATTAGAAATAACTTGATGGAGACTGCCCATTTCACGATAAGGAATTGTTCCCCAACAGGAACTGACGGAGAGCACCAAAGCAAGGACCAAATTTCTGGGCTATGTGGCTAGACCCTGACTCAGAAAAGTGGCTTCCAAACTTTGCCTGTGCCCCACTTTTTCCATTACACATTTTCTTCACGCCCTGGGTCCTGCACACCAAAGTTCTGGGAATCGACATTCAAAAATCGAAGCCTTCCCGCGTTCACCAGAGAAAACAACAACAACAAAATCCCGCTGGACAGCCAGCAACTCCAGCCCCAGCTCCGTCCCGCGGCTCCCCGCTCCACCCCGCAGGAAACACCGCCGGGCAGGACCGGGCAGGCCCGGGGCGCCCGCCCACCGCGCCTCGGCACCAATGGGCAGGCGGCTAGCAGCGCGCGCCAAAACCGGCCTGCCGCTGGGGCGAGCCTTGCCGGGCCGCCTCCCGAGCCTCGTCCCCGGCGCCTCCCGAGCCTCGCCTGGCCGCCTCCCGAGCCTCGTCCCCGCGCTCCCCGAGCCTCGCCGGGCCGCCTCCCGAGCCTCGTCCCGGGGCTCCCCGAGCCTCGTCCCCGCGCTCCCCGAGCCTCGCCGGGCCGCCTCCCGAGCCTCGTCCCGGGGCTCCCCGAGCCTCGTCCCCGCGCTCCCCGAGCCTCGCCGGGCCGCCTCCCGAGCCTCGTCCCGGGGCTCCCCGAGCCTCGTCCCCGCGCTCCCCGAGCCTCGCCGGGCCGCCCCCCGAGCCTCGTCCCCGGCGCCTCCCGAGCCTCGTCCCCGGCGCCCCCCGAGCCTCGTCCCCGGCGTCTCCCGAGCCTCGTCCCCTGCGCTCCCCGAGCCTCGCCTGGCCGCCTCCCGAGCCTCGTCCCCGGCGCGTCCCGAGCCTCGTCCCCCGCGCCTCCCGAGACTCGTCCCCGGCGCCTCCCGAGCCTCGTACCCGGCGCCTCCCGAGCCTCGTACCCGGCGCCTCCCGAGCCTCGTCTCCCGCGCTCCCCGAGCCTCGTCCCCGGCGCTCCCCGAGCCTCGTCCCGGGGCTCCGCGATTGCCCCGCAGCCCGGCCGCGCAATGCGCTCCCGCCGCCGTAGGAGAGGACGCGGTGTCGCGCTGGGGAGCGGTGCCGACACCCTCCGGTCCTCCCGCCTCCCCGCACGGAGCTGTGGCGGCGGCGGCAGCGCCCCGCACCGGGCTCACCTCGGCCCCGCACCGGCCTCACCCGGCCCCGCACCGGGCTCACCTCGGCCCCGCACCGGGCTCACCCGGCCCCGCACCGGGCTCACCTCGGCCCCGCACCGGGCTCACCCGGCCCCGCACCGGCCTCACACCCGGCCCCGCGGGACCCACGGCCGCCGTCCGCGATGGCGCGACCCCGGACACCTTTACCTGGTCCGCTCGCCGGCTCCTAGAAAACCACATGACTCTGACGCAGCGCGGAGGGCGGGGCTGCCGCTCGCCTGTGCCCGCCCCTTTCCTGGGTGTGCGCCTGCGCAGAGCCTGGCCAGGGTTCTCTGAGGTGGAAGGTCGTGACCCTGCGTCCCTAAGTGTAAGAACCTACTTCCGTCAGGTGGAGTTTTTTTTTTTTCTCCCTTACCAGCCAGCAGAGATCCCATTGACGGCTGAGAAAAACAGATGTAGTTCCGTGTTGAGGGAGCGCGGGAATACACCTGCTTCGTTGCAGTGTGGCGGGCAGGCGCCTTCCTGGGGACTGGTCCAGCCCTGACTGAGTGATGCCGCTGGTTTTCTTCGGGACAGAATGCACAGGGCTCCTCGGAGTGAGGAGTTAGACGGGCCCAGGGGCAGGACAGGTCCCTTGTAGCGCCTCTGCTGCCTCATACCTGTCCTTGTGGTAACTTTTTGATGTCAGACAAGGACCCAGAAAGCGGCATTGCCTGCTTGCTCTTGTGGGATACTGAGGGGGTGTTCCACCTCTGTGGGTTTTAGTTCTGACTGCCTGCCGTTCCTGCCTTGCCCGTGTGACCACCTCTCCATCACGCTCCACTTTCTGCACCCTGCTCCTGCCTCCTGCCTCCCAAACCTTGTCTTGCTTTTTCGCGGAAGCTCGTTGTGCAGCGGACTTAAGTAAGTTTGTGGGGAAATGTATATGGTGTATTAAAAAAAAAAAATTGCTTAGATCCAGGAATGTAATGGAACTTCAAGAAATAAACGGGCAATGCCCATGGTGAAGAAATTACATGGATCTTAAACATTTTACCCCAAAGTAAACAATTTTTAGTTCTGTTTGGATAAACTTTTGGAAGTATCCTCCTACAATGCCTACTTGTGTGGTTCTAGCTTTTCAGAGAGAGTACAACAAGATCTGTAATCATAAGAGGGGCATCAGAGGCCAGCTAAGACACTTGGTTCCGGTGTGAGAATTCCGGAGTTGACAGCTCTGCTCCTGGCCAGGCTTCCTGTTCACACAGGTCCTAAGGGGCAGCAGATGAGATGGGCCAGGTCATTTGGCTCCTGCCACCAACATGGGACACCTGGATTGAGTTCCCAGCTGCTGGACATCTTCGGATGGGATCTTGCTTCCTCTCTCTCTGCCTCTTGAGTAAATATATATATATTCTTAAATAGCAGTTTTCAAACAGTCCAGTGAATGGAATATGACCAGGGAATGAGGTTTCCAGTACCGGTATTTAGTCTGTTTTAACTTGAAACTCTAGCCTGCCAAAATAGTAAATCTTGATCATCACTGTTCATTCATTTGTCGTGTGACCAGGAGCCCTTATGACAAAGGCTGTAGAGGAAAGCTTGTGGAAGCTGATTTCCACAGGGCCAAAAGCATTAGAATCTGGTGCCATCATTTGAAAATGAATAGGAAACGTTACTTGCAGATATTCTCTGGCAGCTAAAATGTAAAACAGAGTTTCATACAGTTACTTGTTTCCTGAACTGAAATGGAGGGAGGGGATAAATCTTTCATATGAAAATGATCAACAGGGCCCAGCACAATGGCCTAGTATCTAAGTCCTCACCTTGCATGTGCTGGGATCATGTCCCAGCTGCTCCACTTCCCAAACCAGCTCCCTGCTTGTGGCCTGGGAGGGCAGTAGAGGATGGCCCAAAGCCTTGGGACCCTGCACCCATGTGGGAGACCCAGAAGAAGCTCCTGGCTTTGGATTGCAAGCAGTGGACTGAAGATCTTTCTCTCTGTATCTCCTTCTTTTGTAAATCTGAGAAAGAAAATGGTTAGCAAACCAGAGGAATAAAATTGAGTTTGCCATGGTTAAAAAGCTATAGAGGAACCAACATTGTAGTTGTAATATAATGGATAAAGCAACTATCTTTGATGCCAGTATCCCACACCGGCTCCCATTTGAGTCCTGGCTACTCCACTTCCAGGCCAGGGAAGGTAAAGTAAGAAGGATCAAGTGTTTGGGTCCTAGCCAGCAATGTGGGAGACCTAAATGAAGCTCCTGGCTCCTGTCTTCAGCATAGCCCAGCCAGACTGTTGCAGGCATTGAATGAGTGAACGGGTGGATTTGAGCTCACTGGAGCTCTCTCACTCTCACCTTCCTACCCTTCTTCCTTCCCTCCCTCTCTCTGTAACACTGCCTTTCAAATTAATTGATTATTTAAAATCCTGCAAAGGGTGACAACAGCAGGTGAAGCTGTTGTTTGTAACGCCCAGCGTTCTGTATTGGAGTGCTGTTCTGCTTCAATCCATGTCCCTACTAGTGCTCCTGGGAACACAGAGGAAATGGCCCAGGTACAGGGACCCCCGGCCACGCATGTGGGAGACCCGGATGGAGTTCCTAGCTCCTGGCTGTGGTGGCCATCTGGGGAACAAAGTAGCACATGGAATATCTCACTGTCCCTCTGTCTCTCTCTTCCCCCTTCTCTCCCTCTGATACTCTGCATTTCAAATATAGCTTTGAACAAATAAGCCTGCTGAAGCACTAAGAAAATGGGGCATCCTTTACGATACTTCACCAAACCCATTTATCCAAATGTAATCTGCAGTTAGTGCTAATAGTATTGGTTAGTTTTGAAATCATGGAGTGAGATTTATACTTTCTATATTTCAGTGTTTTTATTTTTGTTCAACATACGGAAGGAAATGATACCTACTTTTGGCAAAATTGTGCCGCTCTCTGGGCCAAAAAGCCATTTCAACAGCTTAGGGTAGCATTTTTTTTTTTTTTTATTAATTACATTGCATTATGTGACACAGTTTCATAGGCTCTGGGATTCCACCAATCCCTAGGGTAGCATTTTTTGTAAAGCTTTATTTTTTAAATATTTCTTTATTTTTATTGGAAAGTCAGATATACAGAAAGAAAGAGAAACAGAGAGGAAGATCTTCCATCCCTTGATTCACTCCCCAAGTGGCCACAATGGCTGGAGCTGTGCTGATCCGAAGCCAGGAACCTGATGCCTCCTCCAGGTCTCCCACACAGGTGCAGGATCCCAAGGCTTTGGGCCATCCTCCACTGCTTTCCCAGGCCACAAGCAGGGGGCTGGATGAGAAGTGGAGCAGCCAGGATTAGAAACAGCACCCATATGGGATCCCGGCGTGCTCAAGGTGAGGACTTTAGGCACTAGGCCGCCGCACTGGACCGTTAGTGTAGCTTTTTCTGCTTTGCTTATTAAATAGTCATCAAGTTCACTGGGCCAACTGATTCTGCTCTAGACCTGTGCTGCTTTGCAGTTGGTCAGCAGTACCTACTTAACAGCTGCTGAGTACTTCAGGAGAGGCCAGTCTTCACTCAAATGTGTTGTCATGTGAAATACGCAATAGTTTTAAAAGATTTAGTTCAAAAGGGAGGAGTGCAACATATCTCCATAATTTTTTGTAATTGCTTGTTGAAATGTTTTTATCTATCAGGTTAAATGCAATTATTATTAAGATCAGTGCCACTTGTTTCTGTTTTAATATAGTTTCCAGATGGGAACCTAAACTGAAGGTGCGACTCCCCTTTGCGCCTTGCCTTGTGTTTCTGTGAGACTTTGCTGCTGTATGCTGTCAGAATGCTCTCAGCCCCATGGGGGTGCGGGGGGCTGCCTGTGTGCTGCCTGCTTTCGCTTCCTTGTATTCAGTGCTGAAAAACTAGACCTGGGGTCAGCGTCATGACACAGCAGGTGAGGCTGCTCGTGATGCCAGAACCATGCAAGAGCACCCAAGTCCCAGCTGCTCCTCTTCCAGGCCCACCCTCTGCTGTTGCCGGAAGCAGTGAAAGGAAGCCCAAGGGACAGTCCCTACCTCCCACGAGGGAGACCCAGGTGGAGCTCCTGGCTCCTGTCTTGTCTTGGCCATCTGGGGAGTGAACCAGCAGACAAAATTGCACGCTCTCTCTCTAACTCTGTTATTCAAATAAGCAAATATTTTTTTAAAGATTTATTTTATTTTTATTGGAAAGGCAAGAAAGGCAAATATATAGAGAGGAGGAGAAACAGAGAGGAAGATCTTCCGCCTGATGGTTCATTCCCCAAGTGACCACAACGGCCAGTGCTATGCTGATCCGAGGTCAGGAGCCAGGAACTTCTTCTGGGTCTCCCACACGGGTGCAGGGTCCCAAAGCTTTAGGCCGTCCTCAACTGCTTTCCCAGACCACAAGCAGGGAGCTGAATGGGAAGTGGAGCTGGCGGGATTAGAACCGGCGCCCATATGGGATCCCGGCACGTTCAAGGTGAGGACTTTAGCCTGTAGGCCACGCTGCCGGGCCCTAAATAAGCAAATCTTAAGGGGGAAAAATGTAACTCTGAAGCAAACATCTGAGACAGTTTGGCCTTGGCAATTGGAGACCAAGTCCATACCCGAGAGCAGAGGCTCTAGAAATTCTCTTCCCCGGGAGATAGATCCTCAGGCCCCCAAAGCTGTGGCATGTCTTCCACATCTGTACTTTCCTATCAATTTTGAATACAGATTTTTCTTCTTTTTTAATGTTTATTTTGTGTTTATCTACTTACAATAACAGAGTAACAGACAAAGCAAGAAAGAGATCTTTCATTGTGGGTTCATTCCCAAAATGCCTACTAACCTGAGAGCTGGACAGGCCCAAGTCAGTAGCCCAGAAATCAATCCAGGTCTCCCATGTGGGTGGCAGGGACCCCCTCCCAGGAAACTAGATGGGAACTGGAATTCAGACTGGCACCAATACAAGAAGCAGGTGTGGCATCAGCAGCTTGTTTTGTGTTTTAAGATTTATTATGACTTTACTGGAAAGGCAGATTTACAGAAAGAAGGAGAGACAGAAAGATCTTCCATTCACAGGTTCTCTCAATAAATGACCACAAAAGTCAGAGCTGAGCCAATTTGAAGTCTGCAACTTCTTCCAGGTCTGCCACATGGGTGTAGGAGTCCACAGACTTGAACAATCCTCCAGTGCTTTCCCAGGC